CCTCCCTCGAAAGTAATGACTGTCGTCTTCTTTGACTGTGAAAGAAGCAGCGAGAAGAGAATGTCCCTGCTCCCCCACCGTCTTAGCTATCAGCATGCCTGCAGTTGGACTGGGAGAATTTGTCTTCTGTGCTGTTGCAGTGAATGAGTGGCCTGTGCTTGGAACTGGCACTCCTTGTGGACCAGTTGCACTCCTTGTGCACTGCCTTTTTTCCTCTCTTGTCTTCCATCACCATACCTATAGTTGTAATAGCTACCATCTTGAAAAACAAGCAACAAAGACAGGACCACCTGTCCTTGTAGCTACTGCCTTTTCTCTGCTTCCTTTTACAGCAGAAATTCCTCAAAGGAGATGTTTATATGCACTGTCTCCAATGCTCTACTCTTTCTCTTGAATCTTCTACAGTCAGCTTTTGTCATGGTCACTGCACCAAAACTCTTTGTAAGGTCAGTTGTGTGTGAGGAGAGGAAAGAAGTTTGAAGACATTGGTATGCCAGCATTGGCAGAATGAGTTGTGACAAATGTACCATGTTCTTTATTGATGTGGCATGTTCCAGCTTTGCTAGGTCTTCATTTTGTGACCTTAGATATGTTCATTAACATGAGCTTATTTGTTCACTGGGCACAATGTTTGGTCTACCTACCTGAGAGGATGGAGAACCAAAAGAAATAGTGTTTTTGAAAGCTGTAAAGTACTGTAAAGAACAAAATAAACTTATGTAGTCAGAAGAAATTTACAGAAAACCCAGCAATTTTAGCCTATATTTTTATACTAACATTTAACAGTCATTTTTCTGTGACGTGGACTTTATGTCCTGTATTCCTCACAAGAGGGCCAAGTGGGTTATTGTGATGGTGATTCCTGTTTAACAGATGCGGGCACTGAGGATAAGGTAGGCTAAGGACTCACCCATGGTCAAACAGCCAGCAAAGCATCTGGTCTGATTTAGTCTGACTCCACAGCCTGTCTCCTGAACCATTATTGCATTGTCTCCAAACTAGTGAGATTGGAAGTCAGGGAGATGGCAGAATTAAGTATAAGGCCTAGTTCTTTGAAAATACTGGTAAAGTTTAGACAGTTATCTAGCATGCTTAATCAAGAAAAATGAGAAGAAACAAATACTTGACTTTAGGAATAAGCAAGTATAATAAAATATGAAAATCATGATAAATGTGTACAGCTTTATGGCCAAAATGTAACACATTTCAAATAAATGGAAAGTTCTTTTAAAAAAAAAGGTAAATTACCAAGTGGATTTTCCTACTGTCTGTTAAAATATCTTGTCCCCACCAGGGCCAGCTCTTTTCTTTCATCATATGTAAACTTCTTAAGCTTTCTTGGAGATCTTACATACATTCCCAGCTTAATTCCACTGTAAGTTAATGATTATGAAATGCACATCTATAGCTTTTACCTTTGTCTGGAATTCCCTAACTGCATACTAGGATGGTGTCCAGTTTAACGTCTCCTAAGCACTTGACTTAAACTCAAAGTTAGCTCTTTCCTTCCCTCTGAAACCATTCATCCTCTTAAACTCCCTGTTTCTACTCAGGGCACCACTTCCCTAGTTGCACAAACCGGAAACCTGTGTCTTTTCCCTCTTCCCATGCCTAATTTTTCTTCACAGCCCTGTCCTTTTTACTTCCTATATCTCTTTAGACTGAGACCCTCCATTTCAGTGCTGGGGCTTCTACGTGTGTTTGGACTTTGCTCATTTTTGACTTGCCGCCCACCTGGCCTCCCTGCTCTGTTCTCTTCTCAGAGACACCTGTCACTGATGCCCCTTCCTGCTTAAACCTACCCTGCCTTCTTAGTTTGATGCTAATAAGACAGGGAGTAAATGAACCAGATACTAATTTGACTAATTTGAGAAGCGGGAAGAGGAAATAAGGGAAATTAGAAGGACTAAATAGAGCAGTCCAGTATAAATGAATTAGAAATAGAGCAATGATGGAATTGATAAATAGAACCAAGAGTTGGTGCTTTAAATCAAAAAGAATAAATGAAAAGTTCTGGACATCTGTTTCACATCAGTGTGAATGTATGTAAACACTGCCGAACTGTACATTTAAAAATGTCTAAGATGGTAAATTTTATGTGACATGGTTTTTACTATAATTAAGAAAACACAGAACAAATTCTTAAGTCATTAAAAAATAATAAAATGGATGTGCCTGACAAGGCTAACAGATAAAGAAGAGAGAAGATGCAAATGTGTGAGTATGTGCAGAGCTACAGAGGCCAGTAGGATTAAGAGACAACTGTGTAGAAATCTCTGCTAATAAGTTAAAATCTGAAACAATGAAGAAATGGCCAGAGATGATGTAGAAGAACAAGATAAATTTCATATTGTGCTTATAATTACAAAGTAAAAAGAGAGCAGGGGGCAGATAGCTTTGTCAGTGTGCTCCCAACATAATTCATTAATTCAGATATTAAGCCCTTAAGTACCATGTGCAGTGTCTGCCCTTGTGCAGCTCCATCTAACTGAGAAGGCAACCAAATAATCAAACAGCACCTGCTAGCCAGTCTGTGGAGCCAGGGCTATTGCCCCAGTCAGGCTGCTTCACTGCCAGGATGCAGCCACCTGTCTTGGCCTCCCAGGCCCATGACAGCTGTCATTGGGAAGTCCCCTCTCTATGATCAATCAGAATCTGGACTACAAGACTATCATTAGTCTTGTAGGATTTTCAAGCCAACTTGTCCTCTGCTAGTTTTGCCTAAGTAAACTAAAAGCATCTAATTTCTTGTAAAATTTAGATATTGATAGAAAGCACTTCAAAACATCAGAATGTGGATCTAGCCAGCCCAGTGGCTCACTTCTGTAATCCCAGCACTTTGGGAGGCTCAGACAGGAGGATTGATTTAGGCCGGGAGTTCAAGATCAGCCTGGGCAACACAGCAAGACTCTGAAAGGGGGAAAAAAAAAAGAACGTGGATTCTAATGAGTGCTTTATACTGCTTAGACAAATTTACTTCTGAGCCTTAAATTCAGTGGCTCAAGCAAATTAGCTTTACACTTTAGACATGTTGAGGAATAAATGACTATGTGTGTGGAGAATGTAGTACAGTATGGCACAAAATATGGCCACTGTGTTTACTTTCCGTGTGCAATATGGATTTCCTTATGCATCAGGAAAAAAGTCATCTCAAGCATCCTTCTAATCCTTCAATCCTGAACTACACAGGACAATTAGTTAAGGTGCTTCCCTGCTAGCCATTGGCCTTCACTATGACATAGGATATTTCTCTGGTTAGCTCTGCTCATGTTCTTGCATTCTGGCCCTTCCTTGCAAATACCACAAGTGTGGTTGAAACCAAGATAAGTAATGCTCCGTAAGCCAACATGACACCTGCAGTCTGAATCCTGGATATATAGTCTGGTCAGGCCACCTTGTGTCTTTGTACAAGACTTTATTAAAGGTCTTTACAGAGCAACATTTAGACTCTAGACACAGCTGCCAAGGAGACCCTTTTATGCTGTGGGGACCAGCTGGGGCTTGGCAGGCAGCTCTGGCTTCTCACCCTTCTGTTCCGAGATGGGCGTGGTGGGCCGTATCTCATCTTTGGGTTCCACGTTGCTTACAGGTTCAGGCGGGGTATCTTATGGCCAATCTTACCGGTAGGGTCCCAGGGCAGCATGATCTTCACCTTGATGCCAGCATGCCCTGTCTGAGCCGCATGTGGCCCAACACAGTAGTTAACAGGGCCCCCTCGGTAGATTATCAGGCCATCCACAAACTCCATGGATTTAATCCTCTGTCCTCAGAGTCTCCCAGACGCCAGGACCTCACAGCACACCTCAGCAGGCGCCCTGCACTGCAAGCCCTCCAGGGAGTCTGTAACCTAGAGATTTTGCCTGGGCGGTGGCACGCAGACCTCCCAGGGCCACCTTTTCAGCGGAAAGCCCTACACTGCACTCCGGGAAGCCAAACCTCCTCTGAACTACAGCGGTCAATCCCCGAATCCACTGGCCTTTCTCACCAGGAACATTCTGCGTTCTGGTGGCTAAGATAATGATTTCTGTCCTGCCTCATGGAACTCAGACCTCAACTTCAGCCAGCTCCTGAGTGAGAAACTCATTCAGTTCAGCTTTGATGATGCCATCAGCGACAAACGTCCTCTTGGAGATCTGCACTGCCATCTTGCCCCGCTGTGTGCTGCCGAAAATAAATTAAAAAACTGCTGAAAGGCCTGATTGGCTTTTTGAGCAACTGTTTTCCATCACAAGTATACCATTTTACATTCCCACCAGCAGCGCATGGGGGTTCCAGTTTCTCCACATTCTGTCTAACACTTGCTGTTTTCTGGATTTTTGGTTAAAGTCAGCCTAGTGGATGTGAAGAGTTACCTCGTGGTGGTTTGATTTGCATTTCCCTAGTTAGTACCGATGAGCATCTTTTCATGTGCTCAATGGCCATTTGTATATCTTCTTCAAGAATTGCCTGTATTCAAGTCCTCTGCCTGTTTTTTAAATTGGGTTGTCTTTTTCTTTGTTGGGTTATAGGAGTTATTTATTTTGTATACTAGCTCCATAGTACATTTTCTTTTAATATTAGGTCTTCCTGGCTTGGCATTGTTCTTTTGTGATTTTTTTTTTAAACTTGTTGTAAGTGCTGCCACATAGGAGATGTCCAGTCGAAAGAGCTCAACAATATTAATTCCACATGTGCAGTGAGACAAGTGTTGAACTAGTACTGTTTCTGCCCTGTTGCCTCCAGATAGTTGCAACCCATTCAAACCTCATTTCATCACCCACAGAGCTGCCTGGCTTTGCTCATTTCCAGAATGGTGGTGAGGATAGTCCCTAAGGGGTGTGCAACATGCTTGCACACTATAAAACATCACACAATCGTAAAGGTAGAAGAGAGATTCCCACTTTTAGTGTTTTTTTGCACGTGTTCTTATTTTGTGGATTCTTAAAATTCCAATTAATAATTAACCCCCTCAGAGCATAAATTTAAGGTGAAGAGAATAACGAAGAACGTTTGCCTTTCAGAGTCATCATTCTTGAACTTCCACGACTCAGACTGCGAACCCAAAGGATCACCGCCCTGTGACTCCTTGCTTTCCCTCAACACTGAAAAGATCCTGGTACGCAGCTTCTCTCTGTGCTGTTTCTGTTTCTGTGACCCGAAGCACATGATACTAGTTCCAGAAGGTGGAGGTCTGTTTATCAAGTAGAAGTTGGGTCCCGTTGGTTCTATGTGGATATAGAGACAGGTCATCTGGGATTTAGTCACACTGAATTTTTATGACCTATGAGTTGGATGGTTGGTCATTCTGGACCTAGGACTTTTAAGTTCCAAGGAATAAAGGGGAGATCATGATTGAACCTTATTTCTAGGAGCCTTATGTATTTGGAGGTATAGTGGAATCTTATTTTTTCAGCTTTTGCCTGTGTGGATATCTTTTATATCTGTTTTTTTATCACTGCCAGCTAAACTGTGCAGGGGACATCTGCATTTCAGGGATGAATACCTGGTATTAGGTAATGTTTGCGTTTGTCTATCCATGTTAGCACGTATCCTCCAGCTTGGCTACCTCAACGTGGGTCTTCTTTTTATTCAAATTTAACTCTACAAAGCTGAGTTGTTCTTTCCATGCCCAAGTTTAACATATTTTTTCTCCAGGCCTTTTCCTTCCACATCACGTAGATATCATATGCTTCTTTTGTTTAAAATTTTCCTTTGGGATACTGTTTCTTTTCCAAGCAAAGCTTTGCCTTTTCATGCCAGAGCTACTGAATATAGATAGAAATTACAAACTAGATTCTGCAATTATAGAGGCAGTAGAAAAAGAAACTTACTAGATCATAGCTTTTCACCTCTGTCCAGAGAAAATAACTATAGCTACATTAGAAATGGGAAAGATTCTTTTTTGTCAAGAATTTGATTTGTTCATACTATACTTTTCCTGCCTACTTTCTAATATAATACAAACAACTTAAAATCAGATGTATTCTTCAGTATTCTCTTGATGTTGCTTGGGAAATGGTTTCATTTCTGTTCTCTTCCCCATATCTTTGTTGCACAAAGATTTGGCAAATGGTAGACTCTCATCAAATACTGTATGAAATAATAGGGCACTGCAACTAATAAAAGCAATATTTATCGACTCTTTTTTCTTGCCTCTAAGCAATTTTGTTGCAGCTTTATGGAGGTATAATTGGCAAATAAAAATTGTATATATTTACAGTATACAATGTGATATGATTATATGTATAAATTGTGAAATGAGTACCACAATCAAGCCATCTAAGCAGTTTATTACGCAGAAAAACCTTTTGCATCTGTGTGCTTCTCCATAACCATTTGTCAAAGAGACAGGATGTGTTCTGGTCACACCCAGCTGTATACTGGCAGTGACACCCTCATGCATTGTTAAATCTTCCACGTCTTTGAAGAAGCCTTACCAGGTTCCCATGCATGGAAGCTCCAGCTACATAGCAAAATAAGAAGTAGCTAATAAGAGTTTTTTCCTCATCATCAAGGTTTTACCAAAAGACATAATGTATAAAACATTCCCATGGTAGTGGGATTTTCTTGCTTCCGTTTAAATCAAATATAGTCTTGAATTTTAAAAACACATGTTTTTAACACAAATTTTCCTTCATTTGTGATAAGCTAAAGTGTATGTTTGGTTATTTTTTATTTTTCCAGAGTCAGGCCAAGTCTATAGCAGAACAAAAGAGATTCCCGTTTGCTACTGATAACGACAGCACCAATGAAGAGTTAGGTAAGACTCGAATCTGGGAACATTCCTGTAATAGTTGCCTAGGATTTATGATTAGACGCGGAACAGGAAGACAGAGGTAGAAAGAGGTAGGAAGAGCACAGAGACTGGCTCTGCCAATCCTAGCTGTTGGGTCTCACGTAGGGCATTCAGCCCTTCTGAGCTTCCATGTGTTGTATGTCATTTAAAAAAAAAGTTTTGGATGGAGTGATCAGTAAGAACTGTTCACAGCCCTGTGATTCTGTGGAAAGCAATAATTACGGTAATGAGTTTTTATGAGTTATTTCCATTCATTAAAAGGTTGTGTGCTGTCATCAAATGTGGACAATAAAGAAGTGAAAGCAGAAGAGAACACCTACTTAACCTGTGCAGTGAAATAGCGAGGTTTAAGTTTATTCTACTCATGAGGTCAGTCAGTCATTTTCCGGTCTAAGAAGGTGGGTGTACAAAAATCAAATTCCGTTCAAATCTGCACACGAGTCATGTAGATAGTGTGTCCGTGGCATGTTTTAAAATAGGCTGTTTTTTGCCAGTGTCAGAGTGCTTTGGGTATGCCTCTCTTAACTGTCTAGTGATCTTACACTTGAAGGAGTGGAAGTAAAATTGAACACAGGGTTGAGCAGCGTAGCTGGACAGACTTCACAGAGCCACGTATCCCATGCGGGGCCAGTGGCCCGAAGTGCCTGCAGGAATTTTTTTCTGTGTGATTTACACAACATCATTTTATTGTTACTATGGCCATATGCATTTTTATATTAAAAGTAAGCACGTGTATTGGCTTCATTCCCCTGTTAGTGCAGATAATTGAGAGCTGACTCTTTGGAAAGTACTAATCCTTTCATGGTGATAAACTTCGAGGAGGCTTTGAAAATTACCCTTTAAGGCATCAGCTTTGGTGTTTTCTGGAGTCTTTGGATTCTGTTAAGGCTAATATTCATTTATTGAATAATGAATTAGGGGCCCGATTTGTGCAGGCCTGTTCTGTCCTCCAAGAGTAATCCCAGTACACCGTGGGGTGGTATAGGCCCTGAGCCAGCTTAGGATCTTTGGTACCATGGGGTATTTTTTCTTGAAAAATTGACTTCTGTCAACACAACACATACATTGCTAAGATAGGTAGAGTTGCTTGGTAGTAGAGATTTTTGAGAGAATTCCAGCCCTAACAGTTTTTCCTTTATGTCTTTGGACTCTGACAACAAAATTTAGTTACTAATAGTTATGTATATTTGTACAAGATTTGAATTAGGACTGTTTTTTTTTTTTTTTTTTTTTGAGACAGAGTCTCGCTTTGTTGCCCAGGCTAGAGTGAGTGCCGTGGCGTCAGCCTAGCTCACAGCAACCTCAAACTCCTGGGCTCCAGTGATCCTTCTGCCTCAGCCTCCCGGGTAGCTGGGACTACAGGCATGTGCCACCATGCCCGGCTAATTTTTTTATATATATATCAGTTGGCCAATTAATTTCTTTCTATTTATAGTAGAGACGGGGTCTCGCTCTTGCTCAGGCTGGTTATGAACAGGACTGTTTTTTAATGGGTACTTTTGGGTTTTGCTCACAAAAATGTTTACTTTTAGATGGAGAGATTGGAGAACATCATTTGATTTTTATCTGAGTGGAATTCAGTAGCCTAGCTGTGGATAATTTAAATATGTTCCTAAAGTACAAAATTTATCCCCTGAAATTATATTTGTCTTTATGGCTCACTTACTCATTTGTTCATTCAACAGATATTTACTGATTGGGGAAAAATAGGTAGGAAATCTAAAAATTTAGATCTGAAAGGAATGTTTAAGAAAATTTTCTACAGGCTTGTTAAGCAAGACCCAGAGAGTTAACGAGAAGTGACTGAGGTCTCCACAATCACATGGCCGGGAGTGGCAGAGCCAGAATCCAAGCCCAGATCTTGGCTTTCCAAGATAGCATCCTCTTCCTGCATTCAAAAAAGCACACATTTATGTTTGGGTCCCTGGTCATTTGACAACTAAGGAGTTCCAACCATTTTGCAGTCTAGCCCAATGCACAGTGATTTGGGTGCAGCCTTCATTTGTTTCAGTGTAATGGGCTGGTTAGGACAGTGGGCTCCGGAGCCAGGCAGCCTGATTCCTTTGTCTTACTGCTCGTGGTCCTTGGACAGCTTGTTTTACTGCTTTATCCTTCATTTCCTTGTCTGCAAAATGGGGTTAATAATTGTACCTACCTCACTGCAGTTAAGGAGTAAATGGGTTAATGCCCATAAAAAGTTTTACTATGCCTGGCATATATTAAGAGTTCAATGCATGTAATTACTATTATTCTTGTTGTTGTTTGTATTGCTAATACCACTGGCCTCTCACCCCACAAAAGGTCTCTGGTTACCTGGAGGTTAGCTGTTTGGATGGTATCTATTCTTATTATTCTGAACGTGAGTTTGGCGTTAATTTATCTTTTCAAAGAAACTAGGGTAAAAACAGACCTCTTTTTATTTAAAGGAATTCTCCAAAACCTCTTGTGATGCTCAATTGTTTTGAACTTTATTTTTCTCAGGTAATTTATAAAGGTGTTTTAAATCTCTTTCCACATTTATGTTTCTACTGAATTTAATGTTTTTACTGCTTTTAACTGTCTGTAAGTATAAGCTCTTAATGACAGTAAAATCTTTAGTTGCCTATCTTCTTGAACACCTATTAAGCCCTAGAATTAGAGTATATTACAATAAAGCTTTTTTGCAAAGAAATGTGATCAAAATAGTCATATGCTGAATGAGAAATGTTTTTCAGGGATTTTGGGAAGTTGAGTGGTCAGGGAAAATATTATAGATGGATGTGTAATCTAGAATATTCAAATTTATTGTTTTTTGGATGGGTAGGAAAGTTTAGTCAGAATATTACTGTGTTTTAAGAGATTGTCATGGCTCTAATTTCAAAGTACCACTTTCCTAAACAATTTGATCAAAAACTATTCATCTTTAGTGTATATTTTGAGTAGTGTTTTGACTATATTTTTGAATAGAAGAAGGGAAAAGACATGTTGCATTGTAGTGGTATCAATTACCCAGTTAAGCATTATATTAATAAATTTGAGCTCCTGTTTTTATTCTTGCTAGGTAATTGGCAGTAAATTCAGCAGTCCCAGGAATTGAGATTTGCCATGCTATTTGGGTATTTCTCATAATGTTCACAGTAAAACCACATTGCCATGTTGTGTGGATATTACTCAGGCCTATCACTAGCTCTTTGATATTCAGTATATAGCTAGGAGACATCATAAAGGTTATTTGGGATTTAAAAGTGAGTGATGGGTTTAGAAAAAGATAAATATTTCTTGTAAGTATACATTTTATAGATAACTTTAATAATTTAAATCTAGATGAAACAGGAAGGCTAATTAGCAAGTGAAGGCAGAAGAATTCAATAACATCTTATTAACTTCTGGGTTTTCTGTAACTACTTCCAGTCCTTGGAGCTGCCTTTTGAGATTTAGCAAGGAATTTAGTTATTGATTCTAGTCTGAGCTCCTTTATTCTTTCCTTTAATATTTTTCCATTTTATTTCATAGCTATTGCTTATGTGTTGATTGGCAGTGGTCTCTATGATGAAGCAATAAGGCATTTTTCAACAATGCTTCAGGTAACTTTTCTTCTTAATTACTCGATTTCAAGTTTATGCCAAGTCATGACAACAATATGGACTCATGCATAGCTAAAGTGCTGCAGTGAAACATCTATTTTAAGATTATGTAAGAAAGTAAAAGAAATTGGTATCGACCGAGCATTTTCTTGGTGCCAGGCCTTGTGACATGCTTTCATTTCATCTTTGCAATATTACTTCATTTTAAATGAGGAAAGAAAATATGATGAAGTCAAGCAATTTGCTCATAGTCTCCCACATAGCAGAGATGGGATCCAAATGTGAGCTTACAACGGGCATTAGCTTCAGTTCACTTTCCTCTCTACCACGGTATCTCTCATGAGATGTGGACACTGGGAACTTTTGAAATTCCAACTCCTTTCTACACAGGAGTTGATCTGCATGGTTAATTTCAACTCATGGTTTTGTTTCTCTCCTTAAAGTATAATTATTAGACTCCTCAATGGAAGTATTGGGCCTTTATTGATTGGCAGCTGTGCTTAAGTCTAGTTGAGATAAAATGTATAAATATATATATGTGTAAGACTTTCAAAGGAGGCCTGTAGCTGCCTACATCATTGGCCTTATATCTTGTAATATTATTTAACTGTACCCACTGTAGGTGCTTAGCCATTTATTAATTCTTGATGTGTCTGTCCAATAATGTACAGTGAGTGAAGAAGGTATGGATTTCAGAGTTAGAGATATGCAAGTTCTAATCCACTGTGCTTCTTGCTAGCAAGTTATTTAATCTCCTGGGTTACAGGGATAATAACTGCCTCCCAAAAAATTCTTTTTCGTTTTAAATGAAATATCCTATTAAAGTACTTAGTACCCAGTGCCTGGCACATACTAAGTGCTCAGCGAATTGTAGCTACTCAAAGTACCATTCTGGTATATTTATCTATGTGAATCATAGTAAGAGCCAACAGATATTTTATAATTCAGCAGGTAGACTTAATTTCAAATGATTAATTTTGAAATTTTAGCTCTGCTTTCGTTTTCTCTTTTTAAAAATAGGATTATTATATTGCTAATTCTATCATCATTCTCAAAAACCTGATGAGATACTTTTAGTTATTACTTTGAGATCCTTAGATCCAAGTAGCTGTGTGTTTGGATGATCATATGGAATTTTATTCTTCAATTGAATTTAAAGTACAAAGGTTAGATTATAAATCGTTTTTAAAATTACCTTTCTGTTTAGTGTTGCAATATTATAAAAGGTAAGCAAGCACTTTTACACAGTTAACATTTGACCCTGGTTTGAAAGGGATACATTTATAGGAGCAAATATCAGTTATTTGTGGTAACCAACAACAGAAAACAGGAGGTGTTGGCGATGTATTATCATTTTACTCAACTTTTTGAAAATATTATTACCATTGTAATTGAAGGCAATATGACAATGTTAAAGAAAACATTTTAAATGATAAAAAATTTTCTAATTCTGCCACTCTAATATTATTTAAATTATTTGTTTACCTTTTCAAAGTATGCATTTGTGTTTTATAATCCGAATGTACGTACTATTTTGTATTACTTTTTCACTTAATTTTATAGTGTAAATGTTTTTCAGTATTTCTCCATAATCTTAAGGATTTAATGGCTCTATAATATGCCTTTGTGTTGTCCATTTATTATAGTTGTAAAACATAACTTCTCTTGCAGTTATGTTTGGAAAGTAGATCAGCATTTTTCTCTTTGTGCAGAGAAAAGGCAGTAATGTATTGAAATCTGATATGGCATTTTCATCAATCTGTGATATGATGGGTTGCTTTCAACTGGGAAATGTTTCTTTGAGAATGTGTAGATTATAAGGTCAGACTGCTCTTATATTGATGGGCAGGAGTGGAGGAGTGGAAAGTTCAGATGCAGAAGAAAGAAGTGGATGATCATTTATAACATGTTTATGCAGCAGCAAGAGTGCCCTCAGCTTTCCTGCTGGTGCTTTGTTGGTGACTTCTCTCTCCTTACCCTTCATCTCAGTGCCTCCTGGCTTTTTGCGTGTCATGGCACATGCAGAAAATCTTATGTGCACGGCACATGGGTAAGCAGGAACAGATTTAGAGACATCTAGATAGGACTTGGTGAAAATTGGTCACATTTTCCTTTTATTAGGTGATTATGATAAGAAATAGAAAATACAGTGATTTGATATTAAATGCTAAGATTATTTTGAAAATTTTAATAAGAAACTTGACCCTGCTTTTCTGGACAAACCTTTTCTTTATGTTTGAAATTGATGCGTATACTTCCTGCTTGAATTTTTCTCTTAATGTCTTCAAACTCTTGAAAGGCAGTGTCATGAAGACACTGTACAAGTAGGTAGTAGCAAAAGCACAAAGGATAGTTATTGTTTCTTCTCCACTTGACCAAAACTCTTTTTCTCACCAAGAATCATAATTTGCATAAATCAGTCTCTTTAAATTATATTTAAAAGTGTGATCATTCTTTAAATCTAGCTGTACTTCTTTTCCTTTTATTGGCAAATGTATTGATAAAATTTCTTGCAGTAATGCAATTGATTTTTACCCCAACAATACTTTTTCATATACAGTATTTCAGAAGAGTGATGAAGTTTTTTTCTTCAGTCATACGGGGATGTTGTTCTACTACTTTTCATTCTTCAAGTTATAACTGAACTAAATGTTGCTAGAGAATTGTTTTTCTCTGTGCATACTAATATATCTTTACCTGTTCCTGGCAGGACCTTCCAGATGTACAAAAACTCTGTTTTTAAGCCAGTAAATGTAACAAATCCTTTAACAAATCTGTGAAGTGATAACCATTCACACGTAGACTTTTTGGTTTTCTTGATTTCGTTAATTCTTGACAAAACTTTTCTTTTAGCCCATGAGCTCAAGTGTGAAGCAGCAGAGCATGGAATCTAATTCCATCCATAGAAAGCTGATAACAAATGGGGCCGTGGGGGCTTGGATTTTATTAGAATCACTATTTTGATAAGATCATTTAATATGAAATTCAGATCTACATATAAAGGCAACTTAAATTCCAGAATGAATTTTTGATATAAAGCTTTTATGCTTCCTGTTGTCTTGGCAGTACCATATGTTTACAAACCTATGAGATACTTCCATAATTCTTGCTGTTCCAAAGTGTTCATGTGGATGCTTGTCCTTAGCAATTTGTTTCGTATGTCTACAAAGGGGAAAAACGTTCATCAAACATCAGGGTTTCTAACTGAGCACAATTATAAGGTTTAATAGATGTCAGTCTGCATCTGAAAACTCTTGAATTCTAGAGCTTATGAATTAGTACTGTCTCTATATCAGCGCTCTGAAGTCACTTCCACGTGTGAGTGCATCAGGAATAGCGTTCTTAGAAAGTAGAACCTTTTCCTGATTTCTTTGTTTCTTTGGTGCTCATGCAGGGCTATGTATAACATGAATGCTTCAGTAATTTTATGGGGGAATTTCGTCTTTGCTGTTAATTGTGTGACCCTGAGCTCATGTGATTCTGGTGGAACTGAATTTATGAAAGAACATTGTTTCTTATTTTGCATAATTTACATAAGCAGACAAAATTGAAAACATTCCTCTGCATGTAGTTTTTGAAGCATTCTTCCGCATGTAAATCTGTGTGTCTGTCACTTGAGCTAAATTTAATCCTCATTGCATTGCTTTTTTGACTTGTTTTTGGATCCAGTGACTTTCCAGTTTTAATCAAAAAGTCAGCTTTGTGGTGAAAAATAAATATCTATAAAATTTAAAGTCACTATATAAGTAATAAAATGAGGATAATATATTAGACTTTTTTAGAGAATTGAAACATCTGAGTGGACATAACTCCATTAAGGTATCTATCTTATTATACTGTGATTTTGCAGTTGCATTAAAGTAAATAAAATTGGAAGATTGAAATATGAATTTTTATTTAACTCATTTAAAATTCTAAAACTTGATAAAATATCAATTTTATAAAAATAGTCCAAAAAATTCATATTCTGAGCTTCATTTTTTTTAGAAGTAAACATTGGTTTTTATTTGAAAAAAATAATTATGACATTTTATAGAGAAAAGTTTTGACTTATTAACACCCAAACTATTGATATGTAAGATAATTAAATAAAGTATCAATTTTTAAAAGTAATAAAATTTGTTATTGAAACTTAGGAAACTTAATACTAGACTATAAATATAATAAACAGTAATTACAACTTCTATGCAGGTAGAAAAAAATTCTAAAAAGAGTAAACTGGATAGAGCAAACCTTAATACTTTGCAGATGCGCACAATAACCAACCAGTGCTGTAGTAATGAGGAGACGGCAGGATGATTCCAGGGAGGCCCGAGCAAGGGGCTCCATGTCGTGCACACATCAAATCCCAGAACCGAGATGATGCTGCCTCAATCCAGGAAGCTGTCAGTGTTCAGATATTTCAGCTGTAATCCACTTTTAAGTAGCTGAGTTATTTATTTTATTATTTTTTTAGGATTTAAAATTTTTGCTGATATAAAAATGTTCCAGCCTCAAGAGCTGGTGGTGCACCACAAGCCATTCACTACGTTGCATCTGTCGCAAAGCTTTGCCTTCCTGTTACCCTGGATCTGGCCCCTGTTTTACATTGACTACGTGCCGCTATTTCTCGCCATGGCATCTTGCCTGCCTCCTCTTTGAGAAAGAACAGGCTTAGCAGAGCTAACTTTGATCTGATAGCCTTTAAGATTCTATAAGGTTTTCCTAGCTGCCTAATATATGGTGGTCGACGTTTGCTGCTAAATGACTGCCATGTATTAAGACTTAACCTGCCAGCCGTGGTCTAGGGGCCACAGACACAAAGATGAGAAGACACGCCCTCAAAGACATTGTGTGCTAGTGTAGTAATAAGCGTGCAGATGCAGAACAGTGATCTAGTAAGAGAGTCACTTCCATGGAGCTGTATCCGCTTGGATGTCTGAAAGTCATCTTCAACTCAAAGAGTTTCACCCTCATACTCTCCCCTGGTCCCTGCAGACCTGCCTGCCTGAATCATATTCCAATGTTGTCCACTCAACAAGTGGCATCACCTTTCGCATGCTCCGCACGTCTGTTTGCTGCTTACTTTATCACCGAGCTCTGTCTGTGTACCTCCTGAATGTCTCCTGAGCCCATCTGCTGCTCTCCTGCTCTGCTCAGACACGCCCAAGGCGCTATCATGTGCCAGATGACTGACACGGTTGTCCTTTCCTGTCTCCTCTCCTCACACCCATCCCACATGCATACCATACACACTGTGTACCTAAATGCACAAGTCCTACATCAGGCCCCTCCTACCTCTCCAGCTTCGTCCTGTAACAGGTACTATGTTCCCTGCTTCCCTCGGGGCCTTTGCACAGCCTGCTCTCCCTGCCTGGCCTAGCAATTCAGATTCCTGCCTTCCCTTCTTTCCTTCCTGCTGATCTCAGCCCAGCTATCTCTTCCTTGGGGAATACTTTCTAACCTTGTCTATATCTTTATACATTTTCTGAAAGCACCACTCACTACTCTTGCACTTACTGAAGATGTAACTTTACATTTATATTTGTGATTCTTTGGCTGTGCTCCAGGAATGCAAAGATCTTGCCATCTGTGCTGGTGTTTGCTTGCTTGTTCTAGTACATGGCAGGAATAGAATAGCTTTGTATGGTATTCCTGGCACGTGGAACCCGATGTGGCTAACAGGAGGCCCTGAGTAAATGTTTGTTGAATGACTAACATCCATGCAACCCACAGTGGGAACAAAGGAGGAGGGTCATATTTATTTTCCAGGGGAGTCTGGAAGGAGTCAGAGAAAATGTGGTATTTGAGCTGAGACTTAAAGGACAGAAGGAATTTCTTGGGCACAGAAGCAATGGGTGGGTGTTTCAGACAGAGGCGATAGCATTTGCAAATGCACTGAGCTTGGGAGAGCATGTATATAAGGAATTATTTAATAGTTCTGATTTCTAAAGTATGAAATGTGAGTAGGGGAGAGCAAGGAGATGAGGCTGAGACCAGTAAGGCAGGAAAATGATCAGTATTTTCTGCAGAGACATTTAGGTGTTATCAAATTGTGGGTTGCCGCTCTTTCATAGGTCCTGAAATTAGTCGGTGAGTCAAGACCTAGCGCTTTTTAAAAAATGAAATATACTGGACTAGAAAATACCAGATTACATCGTGTATAGTAAGGCCAGGTATGACTAAATGAAACTTTTTTTGATATGTGTGTGTATATTATGCACACGTGTATGCGTGTTCTGGGTTGCAATGTAAAAGGTATTTCAGTGGTGGGCTTGGAGTAAAAAAAAAAGGTTTGAATGTCACTGAGCGAGGTGTTGGGGAGCCATTGAATAATTTCAGTCCAGGGGAGTGACACGATCAGATTGCCTTGTTAAAAAGGTAATTCTTGGTATGTGTCTGGAAAATGGATGGGAAGATCAGGGGAACGAGTAAGGTGATCACAGTAGCCTCGGTATGAAAGGAAGGCTTAAACTAGGGCAGTGGCCAGTGGAGCAGGCGGGACGACACCCACCTGTGGCGGAGGTGAGATGGCTGGGGTTCCATGAGGGCTGGTTTAGCCAGGGAGGTGAGGAGGACGCCCAGAGCGCCCGCCCTGGCTGCAGGTTTACGGGATGCCAGTCACGGATAGACTGTTTACACCTTTTTCGGATTCACTTCTTGGTCATCTGGAATAAACTTTTTTTCTCCGGGGAAAAGCTGCTTGAACTGTATATTTTAAACTGTAACAAATCTGAGCATAGGTTTTTATTAATAATCCCCGGAGATGCCGTCTCAAAGGATGAGCGTGGTGGGCTCCTGTCTCTAGCCCCAGCTTCGCTGAAGCTCCGTTCTGCTCTGTTGACTGTTCCGTCTTCAGGCTTTTTTGCTGCAAAAAGCATGAAGGCAGTGTCACTCTAGTTCCTCAGGAGGTACCCTGCTTTCCTGCCCACCTTCTCCCTCCAAACCACTTGCACTGTCTTCCTTTAAGCCAGGAAGGATATTTAAATGTTAAACGTGGTTTTCTCTTGGTGGCAGGATTACAGGGTACCCTTTACTTTCTGCTTTGTGCTTTTCGTTGTTTTCTACAGTGAAACAGGTATTAATTTTTTTTCTGATTATAAATGAACATGTTTGTTTTAAACAATCAAAAGGACTACAGCAGTGTATCAAGTGCAATGGGAACATATCAAGTAATCTCCCTCCCCGTAGAGAATTCTAATGGGAACATACCAAGTAATTGGCCTCCCAGAGAGAGTATTTTGGAGAGTTTTTTTCTGTGCACATAATGGCCCAAACAATCACGTATAAGTATTATTTATAAGACATAACTACTATTCCTCTGTAGGTCTGTAACTTGTACTTTTTCCCGCTTAGCAAATAGCATGAGCCAGTTACATGTAAGTTATACATCATGAATCTGGAACTATCTAGGGGCCAGGGAGGTAACTTGTGTGAGCAAAGCAAGTTGGTGTAATGTAGCAGCATTGAGTGGGCCCTGCAGTGAAGGGGGAAGACATACACCTTATCTCAAGAGGCGACCAGTATTTAGTTCCAGTTATTTATGTGTTTATTTTTTTGCCAGGTGAGAATGCCAAAATGTGGGCATATCTTTGCTGGATCTTTTTTTTTTTTCCCCCTTACAATACAGGTAACCAGGAATTTGTTGGATCTCTTAATGTTCCAAGAGAAGCTAGAAACCTGAAATTGTTGAGTTTGATTTTTGCGATTTTTCTTACACTGTGTAGGCCAGTGTGTTACCTGGGTTATGGCCAGTGATGTAGCAGTTTGCCACTGGATATAAATGGACCTCATTCTACTTAAGTAGCCTTTTTTTTTTTTTTTTTTTTTTTTTTTTTTTTAGAGTTACCTGCATAGTAGTAACTACTTAAGTAGCCTTTTAAAAAAGTTTTTAAATGTGTGGCATCTTCTCTTTTATTTTTTCCCATTTACTCGTCATTGAAGTGGATGTGTTTTTTCTAAAGTCCTGGCAGATACCCATCTCAGATTTGAAACCAAGCAGTAGGTTAGTCTATCGGATGCCTACTCCAGTGCGCTTCTGTTTTCTGTTACGTTCCTTAGCTGCATCAAGGCTTACACTCAGGACGTTAGAACTGAGGTTGCTGTTCACTCTTTTTTCTTAAATGTATAGCAGAGGATTCAGAAAAGAAGTAAACATTGTTGGGGCTAAATTGAGACCAGTGGCATTTCATTCACTCAGCAAATAGAATAAGTTCATGCCACTAACTTTTGCATAAGCACTCGGTGGTGGGGACAGCAGGTGCTCTGTCCTTGGGCCTGATAGGTGTTCATCCAGTCCGTGGGGATGGTAGGATAGTTTGAGAGCATGGGAGCAGGTTGCAGAGAGGATCTGGTTTTTAATTCTGACCCATTAGTACAAAGGATTGGATTAATCTCCGGCAGACTGTGGAGCAAGCTTGTTTCTCCTTCCTCATTTGTGAGGGCATGGAAGGGTTCTTTCCTTTTCAGATGATTTCATAGGTGTACGAAAGGAAACAAACTAGAAAGAGGCATTACCCATTCTTTTATCACACCTCTTTACCCCCCCCCCGCGTGCATCCTTTTTCTCCTCTGTAAGAGATGGGTTCTGATGCTGCCAATTAGAGAGTTGTTGAGGATTGCATTGTAAATAAAATAACTGTGAAAGAAACTAGCACAGTGCTCAGTAATATTGATTCCCTTCCCCTCTCTTTATTATTATTTTTTTTCAGTGCAAAAACTCTTACCACATCTCATTCAACTGAGCTTTTAAGAATACGGGCGTTTCAGGTTGGAACCTGCGATGAGTGGTCATAGCATAAAGAATTAGAGCTGTCACTGTGGCATTAACATGCTTTAAGCAGAAACTGATTTTTTTTTTTTTATTTGTTTATAGTTTTTGACGTGTTTCTGTTTTGGTCTGACTAGGAGGAGCCTGATCTGGTTAGTGCAATTTATGGCCGAGGGATAGCCTATGGAAAGAAGGGACTACATGTGAGTATGTAATAGTTATGATTGCCATAGCGCCTACACGACCTGACACGGACCAGGGTTCCACTAGAACTGCTTACTCTCATTGAACTCTCATGGGACACGGAGTGGTATCTATCGTTCCAGTTCACAGATGAGAAAATGTGGCAATTTTCTAAGATCCAATGGCTAGGTAGTGGTGGACTGGAGATTTCCACCCAGGTCTTCTGAAGTCAGTTTTGATGAACTGGATACAGAGCTAGAATAGCAGGAGACCCTGACTGTGTTCCTAAGAAGTAGTCAATGGCCAAAGCAGAGAAGGCAGTGATAGTGCAGTAGGGCTTAGAATTTGAGTTCCTTTCACAATTGTTAAGAGCTGAATGAAAGGCCAAACGTTTTTGTTTTTTTTTTTCAGTGTGTAAAATTTATTTTTATTTGTTATATTTTATGCTTTTTGTAATATCTGTGTAGCTGCAATCAAATTATTCCCGTTTCTCTGAGGAAGGCAAGAGGAAGATTATGATAAGCATACACAGAGGCACCACGGTGTAAAATTGAAGACTTTGCTGAGATTGTGCAGTAAATCATGAAATGCTTTTCAAATTTTTAGTCTAGAACATCATACCCAACCTTTTTTATTGTCTTTTTGTCTCCCATCCAAGTACTAACCAGGCCCGAACCTGTTTAGCTTCTGACATCAGACGAGATCAGGTGTGTTCAGGGTGGTATGGCCATAGACTGTTGTCTTATTATATACCGATAATATTTATGTGAAATTGTTCTGTGAAGGAGAAATATCATTTTTGCAACCTTTGCATTAAAAATATTAGAATCTATAACATTTTTATTAAATAGCTTATTAAAATTTAATTGAAATCTATTAAACTATGAAAATTAAAACTATTACACTAAGATGGTGCTGGCCTATTGGAGAAATTTTATATAATATTTGTATACTTCTGAGACATAGTGGACTGTGAATGAATTATAACTGGGAATTATGGAAGTGTTTAGGAAGGAAACAATATTTCATTTATAGCATCACTAATGTTTAGGGTTGAAGTTGTGCTAGTAAAGTTCAGAGAAATGCTGCTTCTTTCTAATTGCCATCTTTTTAAAATTATATATTGATGTGAAATTTGCTTATGTCATCAATAAAAAGTTATACATGCATTTTTAATGTAGAAGTAGCATGGCAGTGTTAAAGAGAACTTAAACCTAGACTTCTTATTTTTTTTATTTTTTATTTAAGCATATTATGGGAGTACAAATGTTTAGGTTACGTATATTGCCCTTGCCCTCCACCTACCCCCCCCAATCAGAGCTTCAAGTGTGTCCATTCCCCAGACGGTGCTCACTGCACCCAATTAGGTGTGTATCTACCCATTCCCTCCACCCCCCTCCCATCTGCCCAATGCCCAATAAATGTTATTCCTATGTGTGCACTTAGGTTAAATCTAGACTTCTTAAGGTGTAGTCATATGGGCTTATGGTTTTTGACTGACACTGATTCGGCCCATTTCTGTTCCCCATTGCCACTGAGCAGCATCATGTCACATGCTGGTATCCACATACTCATCCCTTGACATCTGTTGATTAAGTATATATTTTATTTATTTTTTATAGATGCAATTATTATTATTATTATTATTATTTTTGAGACAGTCTCACTTTGTTGCCTAGGCTAGAGTGAGTGCCATGGCGTCAGCCTAGCTCACAGCAACCTCACACTCCTGGGCTCAAGCAATCCTCCTGCCTCAGCCTCCCGAGTAGCTGGGACTACAGGCATGCACCACCATGCCCGGCTAATTTTTTGTATATATATGTTAGTTGGCCAATTAATTTCTTTCTATTTATAGTAGAGACAGGGTCTCGCTCTTGCTCAGGCTGGTTTCGAACTCCTGACCTCAAGCAATCCACCCGCCTCAGCCTCCCAGAGTGCTAGGATTACAGGCGTGAGCCACTGAGCCTGGCCATAGATGCAATTATTTTAAAAATTTCAGAATATTAACAGGAGTACAAACATTTTGGTTGCATGAATTACTTTTGTACAGTTTGAGTCAAAGTTGTGTGTCCATCACCCAGGTAGTGTGTATTATACCTATTAGGTGTGATTTTACCCATTCTTCTCTCCCCACTCCCTGATTCAGTGTTAAATAGGTTAAATTTAAGTAATATCCTGCCATCTGTGGAACTTGAGATAGGTAGTCAGGTCGAATATGCTTTTGATGGGTAGATACACTTGAGTCAGTTAAATAATCATGATATCGTGACTGATTTAACTTGGCAGATCTCTTACACAGAAAGCGAAGTTCATGTTTATTTATAAACAATTGGTTATATCATTACTAAATTACTAGTTTTTTCAGAAAATCTTTTCAACCTGGTTTTGAGCAACAGTGTGTCTCATACTAAGCTAATGCCTTTTCAAGGACATTAAGAATGCTGAGCTTGCTCTGTTCGAACTGAGCCGAGTAATTACCTTGGAACCAGATCGTCCAGAGGTATTTGAGCAGCGAGCAGAAGTGAGTGTGGTTTTCTTTTTCCCTCTGTTGTTACTGGATTAGTTGAATCTCAGACTTTTCTTCTATTATTTTATTACTTGTAAATTGTAATGCTCCCTTATACCCATTGTGTTTTCCTGCATAGACACTTAACGCCTTTAAATTACTAGAAAACTATGGACTGAATAATACTCCTGACCTAACATGTAAAAGTAATATTTAGCATTAAAATATGCAGTTATGACATGTACTACTTCTGTTGATATTCACTGGAATGTATATCACACGTGATGTTTACTATGTAAGTGGCATACTTTAGCAAGACTTAACATGACAGGTAGGTCAAACTGTGTGTGTGGGAGGGGTCGCTGATGTCATTCTTATGGATAGACCTGTCTACGTAGATCAGGTAAGGATGATGATAAGCAGGCCTTAAAGGAACTTAAGACTTGAGAGAGGACATGGGGTGGAGATGCCACATGATACTTGCTTGAGTAGCAAGTATCATGTGGAGATGCCTCTGCAGGAGCAGAAACAGGGGAGTTTTGGGGGTATTTGCTGAGGCTGTCTGAGGAAGTGAGGCTAGAGCTGATCAAATGCCATGGCGTGGGGGACCAGGTGGAGCAGAGTGGTCAGAGCAAAGGAAAGAGTATGCGCAAAGGCACTCCTTTTAATGTTTTTAAGTGAAATGTGTTTGTTTTATTGTTTCCTTAAAGTAACAGTAAGCCATCCAGGTTTCACGTATGTTAACATACTCAGTCTGAATGAAACTTAACTTTGCATCATCTGATAGGGCATGATTTCATAGCTGAACTAAAGAAAAAAATTACTTTTTGGGAGAGAAAACTAGTAAGTAAAGGAAGCGCTAAGTATTTAGTAACTGTATTGGCGATGTTTTTGTTAAACTTAAAAATCACAGCATCTTATAGTTCAGTCTCTTAAAGTGAATTTTTTGTTTTGCTGGGGATTTGGCTTTTTCAATGAAATCTTTTTCTCACTTAATGATATAATTCTTTACCTCTTGTCTATTTTGCATCATAATCCTAAGGGTTAAGGGACTACAGTTTGCTCACCATTGCGTGAGACTCTTGTTGGTATTCAGTAGTTAGTTTGGTGATCGTCTGCTCCTGGGAGAGGGTACTGGTGCTTTTTCCCTTCATTACTCTGGTGTTAGGTTAAAATATGATAAATCAAGAATTTAATTTAAGTGTGCTTAGATAAGACTTATTTAACAGATTTTTAAAATTTGCATATCTAATAAAAAGCTAATTGTTTATCCCAAAATGGTATCGATAATTCAAGAAATAATTTTCAGTTATCTTAAAAATATACAGTAATATTCTCCTTTTCTGGCATTATTAGACAATAATGTTGCTTCACAGTGACTTTTCCAGCTAAATTATAACATACCATTTATATATGTCAGAATTTATTTTATGAGAAGCCTTTTACTTTCATTCTTTCTGAAATAGTCTACATTTAATTAACATAATTTAACCTTCTTTGGTTACTCATTATCATGCATATTACTGTGCTGAGGTGTGATGACTCGGTTATGTACCTAGGGGTTAATAAACTAGATAGGGATGGTTTTCCTTCCAAAATATAATCCTAGCTCAGTGTGCTTTTTGAATCCTTGGGCACACATTTCATTTCTTTTCTCTTTCTGAGATGTCATTCTTACTACTGGTGATGGGCCTGCCTGAATCTTCTCTTGCTCATTTTAAACTGCAGAATAGGAAGTCAGTTAGCAAAACTTGATAGAAATAACCTGTATCATAAGAGCAAAATAAACCCTGATTTAAGGACATTTGTTCAGGATAAAATGCTTGGGCTTAATTGCATGAATACTGATACCTGTTTTGGATTTTCTTATGTATTTTTGGTTTACTTTTGTATTCTGAACTGTCTTTTGTATTATTGTGTTGCCTGAACACAACTGATCGCTAGCTCTAGAAAGCTTTTCCAAATAGGCTTGCAGATATTTTTCCTCCTACTTTGCAGATCATGATTGATGAGTTGAGAGTTGTTAATATAAAAGGGCTTACAGAGTACCTGGAATCTTAGACATCAATATTCAGCTCCTCTTACCATAGAGGACAGAGCTAATGACCATGGAGGACTCTAAATGTGTCCAATAATTTGTGTATTTTGTTTGTTATTTTTATTTTTTTGAGACTAGAGTCCTGTTCTGTTGCTCTGGCTAGAGTGCAGTGGTGTCATTATAGCTCACTTCAACCTCCAACTCCTGGGCTCAAGCGATCCTCTTGCCTCAGCCTCCCTAGGCTGGGACTATAGGTGCTCACCACCTTGCCTGGCTAATTTTTTCTGTTCATTTGTCTATTTTAAGGGATCAAAGTTATCTTTCAGATTAATTTTGACATCTTTATATATATATGTGAAATTTTGGTTTGAAAGATAAATTATAGGCCAAGAAAAAAATAACATTTCCAAAAAAGCAACATATGTCATAACCTAGAATGTGAACCAGTGACGGGGCAGTTGCTGCAGTCATAGTTGATCAGCCTCCACCTTGACTGGACAAAGAAGATTAGTACCGTGTTTCCCCGAAAATAAGACCTACCCATAAAATAAGCCCTAGCAGGATTTCTAAGCATTTGTGCAATATAAGCCCTACCCCGAAAATAAGACCTAGTGATGGGCGTGGCTACCCAGTGTATCTGCCCAACCCATGCATTTCCTTGTGGAGCAGTAAAGAAGACGAGCAGCCCTTCTCATCTGCCCCATGAGAGCTCCATTGCTCAACATGAGAGATCTGGGGCCAATGGTTCTAAAGGAAATAGAGTCGCAAGAAATTCAGGATGGAATTCGGGGTTTGGAGAGTTACGATGATGTTCCAGAAGAAGGCGACTTAACTATATTTGAATAAATATAGATTGTTGTACCATACTTAAAAAAAAAAAAAAAAAAAACACATCCCCTGAAAATAAGTCCTAGGGTGTCTTCTTGAGGAAAAATAAATATAAGACCCTGTCTTATTTTCTGGGAAACATGGTAGCACCTCAGCTTGTTGACTTTGAACCCTGCTGCATAGTACATGGGTCAAGGATTGCAGCCTGCTGAGAGAATAATTTTGTGAATGGAATGTAGTGAAGTGGAATTGGAAAGTCAAAAACATGGGCAGTTTTGGGGTTGATCATTGAAATTTTTTCTGATTACATGTTTTGGATTTCTAGATTCTGTCCCCTCTGGGTCGCATTAATGAAGCGGTGAATGATCTCACCAAAGCTATTCAACTGCAGCCCTCAGCACGGCTGTACAGACACCGAGGGACCCTGTACTTCATATCGGAGGTGAGTCATTTTTGTCTTGGACCATTTCTTTTCGTGATGATAAAGATTTCACTTTCCCCTTGACTTCAGAAAGCTTGCTATTTGATAGATTTGGGTTTGGGCTGTTTAGTAATAAGTCTGTGCTACAAGACAGTTATAGAAGCATTTTCTTTAGCTGAAATTAAGCCCAGTGGAGAACATTAAGTACTAGAAACAACATTTTTCTTCTTTGAGCTGTCAGCAGTAACTAATTCTGGACTGGCATTAAAAAAAAAAAAGAAGAAGGAAAAAAGAGGCAGAAACGGAAGAGAAATTTGGTTCACGGATGATAACTTCAGCCTTTCTTGCAAATGTCAGCATAGGGAAGCAGGTGCATGTTGTCAATTTGATTATTAAACTTAAAGGTACATTTGAATTTCTTGAGTATCACAACCCAAGAACCATAACCTGAACTAACATGGCTTTCCAGACTATAGCTTCTCTGTGTAAGTGACCCACATTGAACAAGATTATCTTTTGTCATCACAGTGGTATTTACAATTGCCATAATTATTTTTGTGGGTTTATGGCACTTTTAATAACGATTTTCTATTACAAAAGAAATATATGAAAAAAAATCTCAGCATAATACATTCAAAGGTTGATCTATGGCATAATTATTTTAGAAGCATGATAAAATGCCAGTACCAGAAGTTTCTCTAACAGATGATCACTTTAATAGTATTTGAAACAATATTATTTTGGTCATTGAGACAGAATGCTTAAATTACAGCTTTGTGAGTTTTTCTCACAATCAATTTCTTAAGAAAACTTAAGCATGGTGGCTGATGCCTATAATCCCAGTGCTCTGGGAGGTGGAGGCGGAGGATCACATGAGGTCAGGAGTTCAAGGCCAGCCTGAGTAAGAGCAAGACCTCATCTATACTAAAAATAGAAAAAAAATCAGCCAGCTGTGGTGGTGTGCACTCATAGTCCCAGCTACTCAGGAAGCTGAGGCAGGAGGATGCCTTGAGCCCAGGAGTTTGAGGCTGCAGTGAGCTATGATAATGCCACAGCACTCTAGCTTAGGCAACACAGCAAGACTCTGTCTCAAAAAGAAAAAAAGAAATTTCTTAAGAAAACCAACCATTTCAACAAGTAGGATAAGCATTCAACTAATATTTATGGCTATGAAATATTTCCTTTAAAGCCAAAAACGGCATAGGATAAATTGGGGTGTTTTTTTTTTTTTTTTCTCTACCAGTCCAAAGTAGGAAATGCTCAAATAGCTAATGAATACTGTTTTATTTTTTCCCCACTTTGCTTTTTGTAGGACTATGCAACAGCCCACGAAGATTTTCAGCAGTCCTTAGAACTGAACAAAAACCAACCTATAGCTATGCTATACAAAGGTTTAACTTTCTTTCACAGAGGACTTTTGAAGGTGAACGTGTTGTGCCATATGTGTACCGTGTGATGATTCTGTCCTTTGTGGGAGGGAGGAATTCAGTGGAATGCTGTTGAAAGATGATGTCTCAAGTGTCTAACTGGTCTATTTTAGAAAGTAGTCTGCATCAACATATTTATTGAGCTCCTACTATATGCTAGGCTCTTGGAGAAGGTACAGAAAGGGAGAGAATCAAAGGTTAGTAGGAGGGAGAAATGATACTTTGCATTTATAAAGGGTACAGTTTACAAAGGTTTTTTTTTTTTTTTCCACATAGAGTTTATCGCATGATAAATACACTCAAGAGAGCAATAAAAACAAAGTGATTTGGAAACGTAGATAAGAAAGATTCCTTTGAACTATAGAGTTAGAGAAAGTGCTGAAGAACAAGTAGACTTTGACCCAGACCTTGAAGGCTGAGTAGGATCAGGTGGTGGAGGCGGGGAAAGAAAGGCCTGGGGAAGTTGGGAAGTTGGACATGTGGCCAGTTCATGGAGTGGCAGATAGTCAGGTGTGCAGGAGGCGAGGCCGGGAAGTTGATTTAGGTCCAGGTCCTTGGTCTAGAGTACTGAGCTGAGCATTTTGACTTAAATGCCTAGGTCTAGAAAAGCTATAAATTCTAGATTTGGGGAAGATATATAGTTGAGACCAAGTCTATAATTCAGGAAGTAGATTCTGATGATGTTGTGGCTGAGGAGATGAGGGCCACAGAGGCTGGCCAGGCGACACTGGTAGTGTTATAAGTCGGAGGGGATGAGACTTGACCAAGCTCCTCGGGAGACTGAGGGAGCAGGTCTGGAGACACTTCTGAGATTGATGGAGTTACAGTCCTTGAAGACTGACTGACAATTGGGAAGAGAAGGTAAAGGGAAGCAGGAGAGCTGTCTGAACTGACTAAAAGTGTGGGGCAGAAGTGTAGCCTCCAGCCTGTCCCTTCTTCCTGCCCTGGCACTCGCTTCTGCGTTCCCTGAGGACCTACTGTGCAGCAGGCTTGTGCCAGGAGCCAGGGGGCTGGACCCAGCTGGGTGCTGAGTGGGGAGCTGGCTTTCTCACCCGGGCCTCCTCAGTCCCCCACAAGGCCTGGCACACAGTAGGTACTCCCTGACTGAGTACAGACTGGCCTAAGGACTAAATACAGTCAGCCTGCACAGCTGAAAAGCAGTTCATTCTGACTAGGAGACCAAGAAAACCCTCCCAGAGGAGGTGGTACCTGTCCAGAACTTTGAAGGCTGTGAAGAATCTCAGTAGCACATGGCAGGTGTATGTACAAGTGTATGTACCCTGGCAGAAAGAACAGGCATTTTATTGTTGAAAATGGCTCTGAGGATTTTGAGGATCTGACATACATATATATTTGGGGGGTGGGGAGAGGGTTTACCTGTAAAAAGGCCACATGTTATCAATTCTCAGTGTAAGGACAGTGCCTGTCACATAGTAAGTGCTCAATAAGTATTAGTGGGATAAAATAATTTCAAGGGCAGAGCATTGAATTTGGCATTAGGAGTTTTGATTTGAGCTCTCGCTCTGAACCTTATTAACTGCACCGTGGACAAGTGACCTGAACTCTTTCAGCTTCTTCCACATCTAACAAAGTAGAAACAGTTCTACTGCCTGCCTGTTGAAGTGATTGTGAGGATTAAATAGAATATTTTATGTGAAAAGTACTTTGTAAGCTGTAAATAGGGATTAAGTATTAATTATTGTAGATTCTAAAAGAATAATTCCCACCCCACTACAAACCAGACCAAAGAGAGTATTGCAAGTTCTATTCCATGCACCTCATATCCCTTTTGCAAGTACGTGGAGGATAGTCCTAAGAAAGACACTGTCTCTCTCTTCCCTTAGGACGCAGACTGGCAGCCACAGGCTTTGAAAGCAGTTTCTTAAACGTGCTTTGAGCAGCTGCCAGGTGGACTTTTCCAATTTATTCTGTATCTGCCCTCTGTTCTTCTCATCTTCTCTCACAGTCACCTGAATTGAAAAAATTCAGAACCATAGTACTACACTCAAGATAGATCCCTTGAATATCTCAGAGAGGAGAAAAAGATTAGAAGTGCAAAAAAATACCACCCTATAAGTATTAAGAGGTTAAAATTATTTTAAAAAGTAAACAAATGCAAACAAATGATTTCACTTTTAACTTTGTTACTACAAAGCCAGGTTTAGGAACACGGGCAGGGCTCTTTGGGTTATTTGGAAACGAGAATTTTTCAGAAAAGCGCTATAATTGAGACACTAACTGCAAATTATACAAGGACTAAAATTCAGTTTGGTTTATTCTAGATCTGCATGATGAGAAACTAGTAGCAATGCTTTCATTTTCGGGTCGTTAGAAGCCCCTCGGAGAACCAGTCTTACCGGGTTACCTGGTTCTCTCTCGTGTTCGCCATGCTCATAAGCACTGCACCAACAAGTGTGATAGGTGGGGACTCTTTGTTTGCATTTTTATGGATCTGCTGTCCTTGGAGGTCAGAGTGGTTACATGTTGTCTTATTCACCCCAATGGCGTCCCCATGAGGTATAGAAGGAGCAGAGTGTGTCCCCATTACAGAGATAGGAAAAACGAGTCAGTGGTGAAATGGCTGAATTAGTGAACAAACTTAGTCTAGATATTCCTGTTTCTCCTGTTAACCATAGAGACCAAGCATTATAATAAATGGGCCAGTGAGTTTGAGCCGTCTTTATGTCCTAAAGGTGGTCTCTCTAGGCCAACAACAATTTAGAAATTGATTAAGTGGGTGATTGCTTATTTACTTTATGATATAATACATTAGAAGCATATTAGGTAATATTATATTACAAATTTCACAACTGTCCAATTCAGTGGCTATATCAGGCATTTTGAATTTTCTTAGGGAAACAACGGCAAGAACTTTCTTACTGAATTCCATCTGTTTTATCTATGTTTTAAGGATATTTCAAAAACTGTGTGTTCTAAGCACCTATTTTTACCAGCTTTCACTTTGAAAGTTCTCTGAGAGTGCTCTCTTAGTTAAAGTGAACAGCACTAGAAGGTGGTTGCCCGTCAACTCGTAAGCAAGATGGGGGCTGACAGTGGTGTGATGCATTTGCCAAGCAAATGAATTCAGAGCTAGTTCATGTGCTTAGAGATTGATTCATTCGAACATAGTTTCTTTGTTCCCAACGGCTTAAAATCTTGATTCTGCTATGTCCCCTCTTTGGCAGAATGAGGTAGAGAGCTGTGCAGTGATTAGACAGGAACCCCGAAACCAAAGACTCTTAAAAGCTGAAGAGAGATCAGACTTTGAAGAACTGTGGCGTCCCAGCATGCTGTAAGTGGAGTGGGCAGCCCCCTGGGCGTCTCCACCTAGGTGTCCACAAGCACTCCAGACTTAACACGCCCCAACCCGGGCACGTTGTCCCCCCACCCCCGACCGCACCCCCATCCCGGACCTGCCGCCGTCCTTTCTCCTGTACTTCCTTACGTTGGTTAAACGCTCTTGCCATCCACCCAGGCTCTTGAGCTTAAAAGCTTCCTACCCTCTCTTCTCTCTCCCCCCTACACCCAGACGGCCACCGAATTCTGTTTTAGTGTACCTTTAAACATGTCTCCTGAATTGGGCCCTCCTCTTCTCTCTTTGGAGACCCCCTCTCAGTTTGAGCTTTCATTATCTCTTGCCTGGACTACTGCGGCAGCCTCCTCATTAGGCTCCCTGTCTCCATGCTCTTCCCTCCCCAGTGTGTCTTCTCTGTCGCTGCTAGTAGTAATCACCTCTAAAACGTCAGTTTCCTGGGGACATGCACCTGCGTCAAGCCCCCTAGTCTGCACTGCTTGCAGGGTTACGCCCACACCGCACAGCCTGGCCCCAGCTTCCTATGCTAGCCTGGTCTGTCATCCTTTCCCTCTCCCCTGCTCCCACCCGCGCACCCCGCACTCCTGCCCCGCCAGGTTTTCACCGTTTCTGAGTGCTCTGCACTACCCTGCACAGTACTGTTCCCCTCTCTAAAATGCCTTCTTTCTTCACCTCTTCCTTCTCCAAGACCCAACTCAGTTGTCACTTCCTCCCTGAAGCCTGTTCTGATATCCCCAAGCTCAGTCAGTGGTTTCTTCCTCTTTATTCCCAGAGACTTATGCATATCTCTATTGGAGCTCTTAATTGATATTCTAATAACCTGGTTACATAATTGGCTTTCTAACTAGACTGTGAGTTCTTAAGAGGACAGAGATAATGACTTGCTCATCTTCGTATCCCCTGCACCTCACACTGTCCCTGGCACATAGTAGGCGCTCAATACATGTTTGTTGAGTTAAGAATATAGTTGTAAAAATCCTAAAAGATCAAGGCTATGCCATGGCAGGAAGCCTAATTAAATGTGGTCTTTAATGTTTCTTATATGTTAAAATTTATCCGTTCTTATCTTTCTACCAAACAGTATATATTCAGCAGGAATCTTTAAGGGTAGGTGGCTGTCCCCATTGTTATCTTTGGAAAGTTTGAAAGCCAGCCTCTTTTGCCCTGCTGTGCCCCCAGAGAAAATCAAGATGCAGGGAATGAATGACATTTTGAAAAGAATTAGGATGGTACTACTGCTTGTGCAAAACTATTTTATGTGCCTACCAGATCATTAAATATTTATTGAGTGCCTACCATGTGCAAGGCATATGACATCTTCAGATGTTTTCCTGTATGCATTTTCAGGTCTGAAATGAGCTGAAGTCAAGCCTTTTCCATTAAAGCTATTAGAGATCATGGTACTTTGTAGCAATTAACTTTTAGTTAAAATACATCTTTTCCTAGGGAAAAGTGTGAAATGTTTTCATAATATTTTAATTATAGTAAATAATTAAATCAGAGTGGAAAGTACATTCAACAGAGGTTTATCTGGGTTGTTTATTGTTAAACAGGATGTTATATTTCATTAATGGGTTTTCACAGATAGACAGCCAGTAGCCAGGTACACCACGCATTGCCAAGGGTAGCTTCCCAAAGGACAGTGCCTGTGCAGCAGTTCTCACTTCCTTAAGCCACAGACTTGGTGTTAGGCTGAGAGAAGCTATGCCCCAAATGCCCCCAGCCTTGAAGTTTTTGTTTTATTTTGTTTTGCTAGTTCTTTTTCCTTGTGGATCATGGGAATGAATCTTCCAGATAGCCAATCCAGGAGCCTTTTTACTTGTTTTGCAGGCTGTTTCACATTGGGCTTTCTTTTTGGCCTCTTTTGTTGGTTCAATTTTAAATGCTGCTGGTTATGATCATTTTGAGTTATTTCCCTCAGCTATTAAGCTTACTTTTGGTCCAAAGAGCCTTTATTAATTAAGGCAATGATATTAATATAAAGGTGATATCATTAGCATTCAAACTCCTAATGAAGTAGATAGTGATGAAGTACATAAAATGGGAAGAAAGGGGAGAAACTTTTGAAAGGGAGAAACTTCAGTCTTTGTTATTTTTTATAATAATGCATTTGTTTTCTACCGAAATTAAATCCTTCTGATGCATAGTTTATTGCATTTTCTACCTCTCTTTTTGTAAGTCCCCCATGTAAAAGAAACTCTGTCAGGGACCATGTATAATATATATTTAAATTCCTTAGTGATTTAAACGAAACTCAATTTTAGTAGTTATGCAAATGAAATAATTTGCTATATACTTTCTACAGGAAGCTATTGAATCCTTCAAAGAAGCTTTGAAGCAGAAAGTTGATTTTATTGATGCGTATAAAAGTCTAGGGCAGGCCTATAGGTAAGTAAAATAATATAATAATAGTTGGTAGGAGGGAGGGTGAAGAATGGGAAGACAAGATAGTCTAACATAATAGTGATATTTAAAAAGAAATGGCATTTAGGCCGGGCACAGTAATCCTAGCACTCTGGGAGGCTGAGGCGGGAGGATTGCTTGAGTTCAGGAGTTCAAGACCAGCCTAAGCAAGAACGAGACCCCGTCTCTACTACAAATAGAAAAAGTTAGCCAGGCAACCAAAATTAGAAGCAAAAAATTAGCCAGATGTGGTGGTGAGTGCTTATGGTCCCAGCTACTGAGGAGGCTGAGGCAGGAGGATTTCTTGAGCCCAGGAGTTTGAGGTTGCTGTGAGCTAGGCTGATGCCACAGCACTCTTGCCGGGACAACAGAGTGAGACTCTGTCTCAAAAAAGAAAAAAAGAAATGGCATTTCTTAGCCAAGAGATGGTTATTTTAAATTGCATAGGCATTGATACACTTGTTGAAATCTTCTGGAATATAGAAAGAACCATGTGTCAGAGGCTATCATGGTGCAAGTATTATCTATTAACTTCAGTGTGTATATATATATCTAGAAAATGTTAATCCTTCAAGGGTTATCGTTTTGAGTAGTGACATCATAAGCCGTTGAGTTATAGATGCTATTGCTGTTTTTTTAGATAGTAAGTAAGGTTCATTTTCATATTACTATGGATCTGTTTGAAGAGTTCTAGAATAAAGGGCTAGAAAAATTATGATTAATGATGTACCTCTGTCAGGAATGAGAAGTTGTGACTAGAACTTGGCTTCCTGACTCCATACATTGCCCTGACAAATAGGGCTATTCCAACTGTTGGCTTAAAAAAAAAAAAAAAAAAAGTCTACTATGATCTGAAAAGGAGGTGGCACGGCAGGGTAGCTAGAAGGAGTTTATGAGTTAGTTATGTTAAGAGACTTGATTCTGGTTCTGGCCTGAGCCATTCTACAGATGTGTGTCCTTAACTTCTGTGAGCTTCAGGTTTCTCACTTGTTAAGTACCATAAAAGGTTGAAAAGAAAGACAGCAGCAGGAATGCCCTTTGTTAGCTACCTTTTTTGGGAAGGTTTAAATTCAAGAGCTTATCTGATTTGATAGTTTGAGAAGCTCTCATGTACTAACTTGGAGAACGTGTGTTTAGATTTATTTGAGGTTTAAGTGTAGATATTTATCCTTCTTGCCCCAAAGAATTGTTGGGAATATCAATGAAAACAGATTTGAAAGTGCCTTATAAAATGTTGTATAAATGTAAGTGGGCATTATATATTTAAAATATTCATTATTTATAGAAAATTGATATATGAAATATTTTGAAGTTACTTCTTTATAAAAATTTTAATATAGAAGAAGATGGATTAGTAACAACCATTTCTGTTCTGGAATGATTATAATTCTAAAATGTACTTCTTTTTTCAGAATCTTAAATTGCATAATGATTTAGTAGATTTTAAGTGAAGTAACTTCTGTAACTAAAAAAAATACAATTTTAAGGCTATGAGTTTGATTTAGAATGATAAAACCGTGTATGGTTATAGTCTGTATACCTTTTTCCAAAGGGGAAAAGTATGTTTTTATCCATATACTAAAATTTACACATAGGTTTTTAGGGGTTAGAGCTCAACATGAATTGGGGAGAGGGGTTTGAATAAGCCTTTGGAAATCAATAAATTAATTTTCCCCAGAAAATTTCAAGAAACTCTGTGGTTATGCTGTAAGCTGGTAAGATTTAGAAAGAACTAAGTTGCATGTAATGTGTCAAAGGCCACGTATGTATATAGTCTATAAAGTGATAACGCAACAAAGGGAACACCCACCAAGGCATCTTATTCCCATGTTGGTCCCTAACTCTGGGGACAGCTTATTCTGTATGTTCACTGTAATATCTATACTGTGTTCATAAGTGCTGTTACCCACCTAGAGAACTGGGCAATTTTGAAGCGGCCACCGAGAGCTTTCAGAAGGCCCTGTTGCTCAACCAAAATCACGTGCAGACCCTCCAGCTGCGGGGAATGATGCTCTATCACCACGGCAGCCTACAGGAAGCCCTGAAGAACTTTAAGGTGAGTGTTTATAAGTAAGAAGCACTGAAACTGGAGTTCTTGGATTATTCTTCAGTAAAGGTTAGTGAAATAAACAGAGAAGGGGGACCACAATTAGCGTTTATACTTCAACAAAAAGAAAAAGAAAAAAAAAATCATTGCCTTGTCCTGTAGACAATTTACAGAGCATGTATTTGGTCTGATTTAACCTGGAGGGAAGACTTCTAATTCTAGGTTAAAGAATGAAATATTTCATGTAGTTAACAATAATATATTATTAATATATAGTATCAAAAATGGCTAGAAGGAGGATATTGAATGTTCCAAACACAAAGAAATGAGAAATGTTGGAGATGATGAGAATGCTAATTACCCCGATCTAATCACCATACATTATATGTAGCAGAGCATCAGTATGTACCCTGTGAATATGTATAATTATTAATGGTCAATTAAAAAACATAAATAAACGTGTTTTTTTTTAAAAAGAATAAAACATTCAGAGTTTTCTTAAGCTCCGTGCGTGCTAACACAGCATTTTGTCCTTTGCTGTCTCAGCGGTGTCTGCAGCTAGAGCCGTATAATGAAGTGTGCCAGTACATGAAAGGACTCAGCCACGTGGCCATGGGACAGTTTTATGAAGGGATAAAAGCGCAAACAAAAGTGATGCTGAATGATCCTCTCCCGGGCCAGAAGGCCAGCCCAGAGTATCTTAAAGTGAAATATCTCCGAGGTAAGTCTGAAAGTTGTAGGATCGTCAGATTTTCACGCTCAGAGCTGTAGAAGTCATATCACTTCACTCGTTCCCATTCCGAATGAGACAGTGGACTCTCAAAGAGGCGGGAAACTTGTCCACAGCCACCCCTTGTTAGTGGCAGTGTCGGGACTCAGCGGAGTCTGTGTCTTCTACAGACCAGTCTGATGCTTTTCCTACCATTTCTTATATTTTTTTTCTTTATGAAGTTAAAGTTGTTTTTTTTTACTTGAGTCAAAAAAACGTATTTTGAGCCAAATATGACAGTTATCTTGGGGTATTCATTTCTCATCACATCTCATCCAAGGATACAGGAAGGGCAAGAAAGTAACCTTCTGTGAGATTTTCAGTGTTAAATGCAAACTTGGTCTCTTTGACTTGTCATTCCTTCCTATCAGAATTCTCATATATTTTGGAGAAATTAAATTGAGGTGAAGAAGAAAGCAAATCTTTCACTTATCCTTTTATTAGCCATAGTTTTACTCACCTTTTTTCTACCATATATATAGATACTTTTGTTTTCTATAATAAAACCCACATATTTTTTTCTGTATCATGAGAGCTTTATACTATTACTGTCCCAACAGAAAAAGTTGCAAGCTATATGTATACTTTTAAATTTGTAGTAGTCACATTAAAAAAGTAAAAATCAAAAAGGTAGAATTAATTTTAATAATATATTTTATTTAATTCAGTATATCCAGAATATTAGTTCAACATAAAATTAATATAAAGCCAGGTGTAGTAGCATGCCAGGTAGTCCCAGCTATTTGGGAGGATAAGGTGGGAGGACTGTCTGAGCCTAGGAGTTCGAATCCAGCCTAGGCAACATAGCAAGATCCTGTCTCTATTTTTTAAAAGAATGCTATTCATTAAATAGTATACATCTTTTTGTACTAAGTCTTTGAAATCTGGTATATATTTTATGCTACAATACCTCTCGATTTGGATGTTAAATTTTCATTGTAAATACTTGATATGAATTTAGAATTTATAAAATTCAGAGTTGGAAAGGTAAATTCATACGTGCAAGTTGTTCCAAACATACCAAAGTTTTCTAATGAATGACTCAAGTGTCAGTTTTTAAGTTTAAATTCATTCAAATCAAATACAATTTAAAATTCATTAATAAAATGTGGTATATGTATACCATGGAGTACTATTCAGCTCTAAGAAACAATGGTGATATAGCACATCTTATATTTTCCTGGTTAGAGCTGGAACCCATACTACTAAGTGAAGTATCCCAAGAATGGAAAAACAAGCACCACATATACTCACCAGCAAATTGGTATTAACTGAGCAGCACCTAAGTGGTCACATAGGTACTGCAGTAATAGGGTATTGGGCAGGGGGGAGGGGGGTGGGTATATATATACATAATGAGTGAGATGTGCACCATCTGGGGGATGGTCATGCTGGAGACTCAGACTTGTGGGGGGAGGGGGGAATGGGCATTCATTGAAACTTTAAAATCTGTACCCCCATAATATGCCAAAAAAAAATTTTTTTTTTAAATTTTAAAATTCAGTTTCTCAGTCACCCTAACCTCATTTTAAAGATTCAGTAGCAGGGTGGCTAAGGACTATCCACTGGACAGCATCACTCTTTACCCTATATTAAAATTCCCTATTCCTTCTAATTCAGTAGAACCTGCACTTGAGACTTACAGACTGGAGGGGCAGGCACTCTGTATCTCAGTTCTTCTCTACCCTGCTTCTGTAGCTAAGCAGCAGCAGTCAGCCTGTTGGTGAAATCGCGTACCTACTTAGTCTACCAGTCGGCAGAGCGCCAGGCTCCGTCTCACACCGAGCTTGGATTCTCAGCCTTTAGAATGGAAAACAATGAGATCTTCAGTGTTGGTTATGGGAAGGAAGTTAAAATTTAGCCAAAGCACACCCAGATTGACTAACTTATATTTGACCCTGATAACGAGTCGGTGTCAGATTACCCATGTTATCATATAGCTGTGACGTACTAAAATTTAGAATCTCCTTTTAGAATTCTTACAAATGAATGACAGCTTGTTATAAAGTATTTGTATGGCACCTGGCTGTAAAAAAATGTTTCTTCAGCAGTGGTTGGGTGTGTCAGATCTCATTTCCCATCTGCAGAGTATTCTCGATATCTTCACGCACACCTCGACACCCCCCTTACGGAGTATAACATTGACGTGGACCTGCCTGGAAGCTTTAAGGACCACTGGGCTAAGAATCTGCCTTTCCTCATAGAAGACTATGAAGAGCAGCCAGGATTGCAACCTCACATAAAGTAAGTGCTTTTCAAGATGATTTTTTTTTTTTCTTTTTCAAAACAGCTATAAACTGGGTGCAGTTCCAGCTACTCGGGAGGCTGAGGTGGGAGGATGGCTCGAGTCCAGGAGCTTGAGGTTGTAGTGGATCATGATCACAACTGTGAATAGCCACAGCGCTCCAGCCTGGGCAACACACCAAAACCTCCGTTTCTAACGAAAAAAAAAAAAGCCTATAGCAAACGTTATTTTAATTAATGAAGTGGTAGATACATTCACGCTAGAATCAGGAGTAAGACAAGAAAGCCTAAAATCATTGAGTAAGACCAAAAAAAGCCTAAGACCATGGCTTCTCTGTCACATGAGCTGGAGGTCCTAGACGCTGCACAAAGAGAAGAAAAAGAAATCAGTTACACGCGTTAGAAAGGAAGACAGAAAAATGTCATTGTTTGCAGATCGTATGATTTTCTACAAAGAAAACCTAGAAGACTTACAAATTATAGGAAATGACAAGAGATTAGAAAGGTGGTTGATTCTTGTAATCAATACACAAGAATCAGTTGTATTTGTACATACCAGCAATAAACAAACAAAAGTACCATTTATAATAGCAGCAAGTACTTAAGAATAAATCCTACAAAATATGTGTACCACCTGTATGGAGATCATAAAACTTCATTGAAACTTACTAACAGAAAACAAATAAGTGGAGAGAAATACTGTGTTCATGGATTGGAAGTTCAGCAACATCAATAGGTCATTTCTGTGCAGATTAATTCTAGATTTAATAGATTTAATAAAATGCCATTCAAAATATCAGCAGTTTTTTTTTTTTAGGAACTTGTTGAGCTGATTCTATAAATTATATGGAAGAACAAAGGACCAAGAGTAATCAAGATACTACCAAAGAAGATGATAGCCAGGCGCAGAGGGGAAGGTTCCCATCCTACCATATAGCAAGACTTAATATAGTAATGAAGACAGACTTGTATTGGTACAGGGGTAGACCAGTAGGCCGAAGGAGCAGAACAGACAGCCTAGATAAATGGTAAAGGTATAGTGTGGATCAGAGTGCAACTTGTCAATACGTGTGAGTGGGCCAATTAGGTTATCGTATGAATAAAATAAAACTGATTTTTGTGATAGCACAGATAGACATCCAATTCCAGATGGATGAAAAATCTTAAATATGAATGGCAAAATATTTTAAACTTTAGGAGAAAAATATAAATGAAGACTTTTATGATTTTGAGCATGAGAAGGGTTTCTTAATTGAGATGCACAAAACATAGATCTGAGACAAAAAGATTGATAAATTGGACTACGCAGAACCTAAGAACCTATATTCACCAAAAGACACCATAAGGAATGAGAAAATAATCTCATGCTAGGTAAAGGTACTTGCAACCTATATAACTGATCAAGAATTAGCATCCAAATTTATGAAGAATCGCTACAAATTTAAAAGTAAAAGGCAACCAATAGGAATGTGTACAAAAGACATGAACAGATGATTTTAGCAAAGGGAAGCATGAATGGCAAATGAACCAGAAAAGGTGCTTTAATTCATAAATTAAGATCACATGAGATTTTTTTTCACCCACTAAATGAGCAAATATTGCAAAGTCTGATAATAGTAATATTGGTCAGAAGAGGACCACTGGGAACTTTTATATAATCCCTTTGAGAGTATAAATTGCTATAACCACCTTGGAACGCAGTTTGTCATTATCTAGTAAATTGGGCATTTGCGTATTCTACGTAGGATTCTGCCTCTATGTATATTCAATGCAGAACCTTGTGGTTGTGCACAAATCTGCCAGTCTGTGCAAGACTGTCGACAGCAGTATTTTTTCACTCTAAAACCTGGAAATCAACCCACATGTCCATCAACAGAAGAATGGATAAATGTGATAGAGCTGCACAGTGGGATGTTATATAAACAAATGACCCCAGCAAAAAATGTGGATTGGTCTTAAAATATGATGCAGAGTGAAAGCAACAAGGCAGTAGGCTGTGCTGTCACACGGTTTGTTTCCCCTAAAGCTCAAAAGCAAAACCGTAGCCTGTGTTGTTTTGGACATACATATGTAACAAACCTATTTTATTTTTGAAAGGTCAGGGAATCTTGAGCACAAAATTCAAGATCAGTGACCTCTAGTTTGGAGGCACAAGGATGGAATAGGAAAGCTGCAGAGAAGCAAATAGAACTACATACTGTTCTAGTTCTGCAATTGCACAATGTGGTTGTGTGCTTTTATATGTCTCGTCATTATAACATAACCAAAAATAATGAAAAGAAAATTGACTGCTCAAAGGGGTTGCATATGTTCTCCACCGCCCCCTTTTTGGGAAAGATCTCTATGCACAAAAGAGTTAACACGGCAGGCTGCGATTGCTATCCTTAGAGAGGCCTGCTTGCAGGGGCACCCCTTGGCAGGGGTCTGGGAACTTGGATTTCTAGAGGGCTCCCACCATCCCCTGAGCCATTAAGAGTGGCTCCTTGTGCTAAACCATTTGTTCAAACAATGTGATTTGTATTGAACGCTTGCTTTCCCTCTGGGTATCTGGAATTTGCGTACTTGCCAGGCAGAAGGTGCCTGTGATCAGCCCCGATAAAAATGCTGCGCACTGAATCTCAAATGAGCTTCCCTGGTTGGCAGCATTTCACACATGTGTTCACAGCTCATTACTAGGGGAATTTTATGTGTCCTATATGACTTCCTTGGGAGGGGACCCTTGGAAACTTGTGCCTGGTTTCCTCCACTTTGTGCTGGTTTTGCTTCATATCCTTTTGCTGTAATAAATCACAGCTGGGCTTATGTGCTGAGCCCTCTGAGCTCTCTTAGCAAGTTACTGAGCCTGAGTGAGAGTGGTCTTGGGGACCCCCAAAATAACCTGTAACTTAGAGTTGCAACCTTTGGTATAAAAACATCAAGCAGATTGGCAGCAAAACAACAGTAGTTACAAATACAGGATTCCAAATATGCTTGCTGTGATACAACTTGAGTAGGGGCGGGAGGTGGACGAAGGGCAGGGGTTTGGGTGCTTATTGAAAAAGGCACTCCATGCGGGTGCATATTCTGGAGACGTTTACAAAGCAAATAATGGTAAGAGGAGCCACCTGAGTTGCACACTAGTTATCAGTGTTACTAGCCAGCACGTGGTGGCAGTTGTGCACATACAGTATCCGCTCCTCATCCACGGTCTCACTTTGCAGTTTTAGTTACCTGCGGTAAACCAGGGTCTGAAAATAGGTAACTTCACATAAGTTATATTAGAATATATTGTTATAGTTGTTCTATTTTATTGTTATTGTTCATCTCTTACTGTGCCTAATTTATAAATTAAACTTTATCATAGGTATGTATATGTAGGAAAAAACATAATCTATACAGGGTTCAGTACTATCCTTGGTTTCAGGCATTCACTGGGGGTCTTGGAACATACCTCTAGTGGAGAAGGGGGACTACTGTTCCACATAAAGGTTCCTTCTTTTGACTTGTGTGTGGTTGGGTGCAAAGCACTGAAATGAGGATCATGTAGTCATAGATTTCTTGGTTAGTTTTCTAGTGGAGGAAGTGATTGCTTTTCAGGTGGAATTGGATCACCAACATGTCTGTTATAAAAGTCCTTATCATGCATGTGATATTTCTTGCAGAGATGTATTACACCAGAATTTTGAGAGTTACAAGCCTGAAGTACAAGAGCTGATTTGTGTAGCTGACCGTTTGGGATCACTGATGCAATATGAAACACCTGGTTTCCTGCCAAACAAGAGAATACACAGAGGTATTCTGGAAACTCACTGAAAGTGGAAATATTTCTGGCATAAGAGCAAGGGTGGCTAAACCATGTTGTCCTTTTTTTAAAAAAAACTAGTATTTATTGTGCTTACACTCTCCATGTGATCAGAACAGAAATTTGTGGAATCATTTGTACTGACTTCTGAAGGAAGGCTGCTTCCAGCCTTGGCGTCCTTGCTGTTGGTGGAGTATAGATCTAGGATATTGATGTTAAGTCCTTACTCTAGATCAGACAGCTGGTCCGGGTGAGCTGCTAGTATTTCCTTACTGTAGGAGTGAGGAGGAGTTTGAACCTCTTATTTCAGTATGAGGCAGAGTTGGTAGGGCACAACTTGGGGTATCTCTAATTTCCTCTCATGGGTTTTAATTTTAATAGGAACATCATGACTGAGATGTACCTTGGGTCTTGTTATATCACCAATACTTCTGATCTTTTCTGTGGTAACTCTATTTTTTTTTTTTTTTTTTTGAGACAGAATCTCACTTTCTTGCCCAGGGTAGAGTAAGTGCCATGGCATCTGCCTGGCTCACAGCAACCTCAAACTCCTGGGCTCAGCGATCCTCCTGCCTCAGCCTCCCAAGTAGCTGGGACTACAGGCATGCACCACCATGCCCGGCTAATTTTTTGTATATATATTTTTAGTTGGTCAATTAATTTCTTTCTATTTTTGGTAGAGATGGGATCTCGCTCAGGCTGGTTTTGAACTCCTGACCTCGAGCAACCTGCCCGCCTTGGGCTCCCAGAGTGCTAAGATTACAGGCATGAACCACCGCACACGGCCTCTTCTTTTGTTTTATTACCATAATAATGAACTCGGCCAAACTCTTGAGTTATCGTTGAGACTCTGTAAAGCAGGTGGGAATCAGTCCCTCTAAAATGTACTTACACACTCTTGTTTTCTCTTATTTCTTTCTCATAGCCATGGGTTTGGCAGCACTGGAAGTCATGCAAGCTGTGCAGCGTACGTGGACGAACTCAAAGGTTCGAATGAATGGAAAAACACGGCTGATGCAGTGGAGAGACATGTTTGACATTGCAGTAAAATGGAGAAGGTAACTAACGTTTTAGTGAAAATAAACTAGCAGTCTCGTCATTGCAAAATAATGTCAGTCTAGTCTAGCTAACAGGTTGCGGACTCTGTTTCACGTGCTAAAGGCCTTCTATGTTAGGTTTTCCTGTCTAAAGTTTGTCAGAAACTGCTGATGTCTTTATTCTTCAACATACACTCAACTATAATAATATTTACGAAATAGGAATTAATGGTTATCATGTGTCCAAAGCACATTTAAATGAAGTGTTTTAGAAATAGCAGTCTCTTTGAAAGAGCAGATCTTACCTGTGGTACCTTTGAATGAACCTCAAGGGCCCAAACTCTTTGTAGGTAGGGATGTGTCTGGCTAAGCAGCTAGTTTAGAGGAATGCACCTTTGATATGCATTTTTATGAGAAAAACCTTGCTCTACTTGTAAACCTTTCCTGGCTTCTTACTTGGTTCAATTGGAACATCTGTTTCGAATTCGCAGGTTTGTACATCATATTTTTAGATGTAATGGACTAGCATTCATTCTATCCCTACCTTTACAAAGACTTCTACATGTTTTATTTAGAATGCTTTTGAACACGTCTGGGTTTTATAAGGTCTTTGGCTTTAATAAGCTCTGTTTTACAGGATTGCTGACCCAGACCAGCCTGTGCTGTGGTTGGATCAAATGCCAGCACGAAGTCTCAGCAGAGGTTTTAACAATCACATCAATTTAATTAGGTATGAACCTTTCATGCATCTTTCCTGTTTCCCTAGGAGTTCATTCTCAAGAGGCAGGCACTGAGACAGGTAGTGACCTATTTGTTCCTTTCCTGGTGACTTTCTGACGGATTAGCTCTGCACCCACAGAATCCTGCCCACATTCCTTTCCGGCAGTCCACTTGCAGAAAGAAATACAGTACACGCCACGCTCCTTCCCCAGCCTCTTCTCGTTGGTGCAGAGCACAATAGAAAGGTAGACTGCAGATATTTACCTAGGGCGTCAGTCTTTAAGGGTTCCTAGAACATCACAGAAAGTGATTAATGGCACTCTAGCCCAGGCGACAGAGCAAGACTGTGTCTCAGGGAAAAAAAAAAAGAAAGTAATTAGATGGAGAACATTACACTTACTATAATATCTCAATAATAATGTATGGCTCAAAGAAATTCTCCCAGCGATGACACATCAAGGGCTTGGATAAATAACACTCTGGTCACCAAGCTGCCTTCCAGAGAGGATAAGGCAGGTGCTGGGAGGGCTTCTGTTTTTTCCAGAGGCTCTGGCAAGTTGGCACATGGGTGAAATGTTTTCCTTTCTACCCTCACTTCATGTGCTTAGCTGTCCTCTAAATAAATGATGAACAAATACAAAAGAATATCAGCTTCAAGGTGACCCATATTATCAGCCTGTCTTTTAATGAATTTAATTTTAGATAAAGTGTATACATGTAGCCATTGTGTCACCTGTAAAATGCTTCTGGGTCCAGGAACCTGAATCAAGAAAATACTATTCTATACAAGTTCGACACTTAAGTTTGAGAGGTATTTTTGGAGACAGAGTCTCACTCTATTGCCCAGGCTAGAGTGCCATGGCGTCAGCTTAGCTCACAGCAACCTCAAACTCCTGGGCTAAAGCAATCCTCCTGCCTCAGCCTCCCAAGTAGCTGGGACTACCGGCATGTACCACCATGCCCGGCTAATTTTTTCTATGTATTTTTAGTTGACCAATTAAATTCTTTCTATTTATAGTAGAGACGGGATCTCGCTCTTGCTCAGGCTGGTTTCGAACTCCTGACCTTGAGAGATCCGCCTGCCTCGGCCTCACAGAGTGCTAGGATTACAGGCATGAGCCACCACGCCTGGCCCTAAGTTTGAGTGTTGACGGAAATGTCATTGGTGTATTTATTTTTAATTTCTAGAAACAAATTTCTTTTTCCCTCCTGACTTGTATATTCCTATTTGTCATGGAATGACTTGTGACATTGATAGGAAGACTCAGTCACCTTGCTTTAAATGAAGGCCACTGTCAGCGTGCTGTGCTATGTGCTGGTGACAGAGGAGGGAGATACAGTCCCCTGACTTCAGAAAGCTCACAATTTAGTGAAGAAGACAGAGTGGTAAACAGCTAGTTTAGCATGTTAGGAGTGTGGGGGTCAGATGTACAGGGTCATGGGAACCCAGGAAAAGGGTACCTAATCCTGCTTTCAGTGGCATTTCAGCTCCTTGGAAAAGTGGAAGACAGAGTGAGGTGGGGTGATCAGGCACAGACCCATGGGTGAGTTAGGTATGGTCAGGAAACTGAGACTGGCTCGTAGTGTTTGCTGGTTAGCTCGCAATTAAGGGATGTCAGGCACTGAGGCTAGAAAGATAGGCAGAAGCCAAAATGTAAATAACTTTATGGTCCATACTGAGGAGTTTTTTTTTTCCTGAAGGTGATGGTGAGCCGTTCAGGGATTATAAGCAGAGAAGTGACATGAGCAGGTCTGCACGTGAAGTGATCACTTTGGCAACAGGTGGCAGAATAGATTTGAAAGGTGGCGGCAACCTTGGAGGCAAGGAGGGAGGTTAGCAAGTTGTGTGGTTATTCGGGTGAGCAGGTGCGAAGGCCTTGAAAGCTGTGTAGTGTGGGCTGGAGAGGAAGGGGTGGATATTTAGAAGGTAGATTCAGGCGCACTGGGGTGGGTTAGAAACCGGGGAGAGTGTGGAATTAGAGGAAAGTCATCTAACTCCTCCCCCCTCCCAACCCCTGCACGTGGTTGCCCCATCAGACCAGAGAGCACCAGGGTGAAAAGTAGGTGGCCACGTTTTGGGGGTGGGGGGAAGTGTAGGATGGGGAGTGAATTCCTATCCAACCTAAGGTTTGGGAGGCCTGATGGGAACCCAGGGAGTGACATCCCGGGAGCAGTTGGGAGTGTCACGTGACTCAGCATGTTGGCTGAACATGGAGTTCTGGGAGAGAGTTTAAAAGAAAAAGGAAAAGGGGGTGGAAATGTGTAGAAAGTAATATTTAGAGTGGGCAGAGGAAAGGCGGGCTGCCAGGGAGCTGGAGAGCAAGGCAGGGACTGGCGGACGGTACAGTCAGGAGACGACGTGCTTTCTTCAACGTGGTGGGATGCATCCAAGGGAGCTGGCACCAAGTCTCAACCTCACTGCAGCACGTGGGGACTTTTCTTCCCACCGTGTCTTATCTGGAGCCAAGCCTGGCGCCTTTCCTGACAGGCCATCTCGCCAAGACAGCGCTCGCTGCTTCCATGCACTCACTGTGAACAAGCCAATTTCCCAGGCTCGTTTTTTCCTACATTATTCTCATAGTTCTCTTACGGTTTTTTTTTTTGAAGACAGAGTCTCGCTTTGTTGCCCAGGCTAGAGTGAGTGCCGTGGTGTCAGGCTAGCTCACAGCAACCTCAAACCTCAAACTCCTGGGCTCAAGTGATCCTCCTGCCTCAGCCTCCCGAGTAGCTGGGACTACAGGCATGCGCCACCATGCCCGGCTCTTTTTTTCTATATATATTAGTTGGCCAATTAATTTCTTTCTATTTATAGTAGAGATGGGGTCTAGCTCTTGCTCAGGCTGGTTTCTAACTCCTGACCTCGAGCAATCTTCCCACCTCGGCCTCCCAGAGTGCTAGGATTATAGGCGTCACCCACCTCGCCCGGCCCACGTTTTTTTTAATTTAACTTTGAAATTAGGAGTTGTTTTGAGCATGCTCCTTTGGAAGAAAGATTCTTAATTTTATTATTATTTTGCCTTGTAGGGGTCAGGTGATCAACATGAGATACCTGGAATATTTTGAGAAAATACTTCATTTTATTAAAGACAGAATTCTTGTTTATCATGGGTAAGGCTTCCATTTTCTCCTTCATAGTCACGAGTTGGTTTCATACATTTCACACGTGTTATATTTATGAAACTTGAAAATCAAGCCTGTTGGCAGGACAAGCAAGTAAATTTTTACATAGTGTTTAGAATCGTAAAAGTTTTCATAATTACTTATCAATCTTTTTCAAAATAGTTTCATAAAATTCATGGCCCTCCACTGAAATGTCTTTAACCTTACACGCAATATTACAAGTTCTGCAGTCTCTTTCTTCCAAAAAGCAGGATGTTTCTTTGGATTTATCTCTTAGGGATTTCAGGTTTCATATTCATTCTCCCTCCCTTGAAAGGCAGTATGGGGTAGATACGGCAGGGAGCAGAACTCTGGGGGAAGAATTCTGAATGGTTAAATATCGCTAAGTAAACATAAAATCGGTATAAAAACCTAGTACGATACTTTCATTTGAGCAGCTTCAGAAATAAAAAAAAAAAAAGCATGTACTTCTAATTTCAGAGTTGAAATAGGAGGATCAAAGTTTTAGGACCAAACTCTTGCCCTTATGTGTATACACAAGTGCGAGCTGTCAGTTCATTCTGTTTTCCCTGTTTCACCTTTTGGTTGGGCTGCTGTTTCCTTAATTCTCATCAGCAAAATTCATTAGGATTAAACCATCCCATTATTTAGAAACTTTAGTCCTGGCCCATCATTTGGATTATTCAGTTACTCATAATTAAGGACAATTTATTTAAATATAATAGCATAATTAATTATTACATATTTGCATTAATCTGTTGCCATCTCTCTCTTTCTTTAAGAGCTAATAACCCTAAAGGACTGTTGGAAGTTAGAGAAGCTCTGGAAAAGGTACACAAGGTAGAAGACCTTCTTCCAATTATGAAGGTAAATTTATCATCAAAATCATAGTAGATGTTTTGAGAAGGGGAAAAAACCAATAGCACTTTTTTGAAAAAGAACTCATAATTATTAAATGCATGTTTATTAATTAATGCTATAATTGTTTTAAAATTTACAAAAGGTGCCATTCGAAATCACTAATATGAACACATTCTGAATAATAACCAAAATAAAATAAAACATAGGCGTCAGACTCAAACAGAAAACCTAACTTCCGGGGAAGCAGTTACTATAGGAAACAGAAGAAAACTGAAAAGTACATACAGAACCCTAGCAGAGAGCAGCAGTCTTGTTGAGCTTAGGAGGTAGAGACTGGAGCTGGGGTCTGCCGAAGTGGCTGGAATTTGCATGGCAGAGGACAGAGGAGGAGGAGACTGTGGGGACTGCCCAGAAGTCAAGGAGGGTGTTTCTTGTCATCCTTGGCCAGGAGCTTGGTCATGCACATGCAGGGAGAGTCTCAGGAGGTTCCATAGAGAGTGGCTGATGCAGGGACAAGGGCCGAACAGAGGTACGGGTGTTTACGGTACTGAGAGACATTGAAGTTCTGGCCTCACCGGGGTGGACGGATCCTGTGAGCACTTTAGACATTCAGTTAAGACCCCAGAAAGGACACACTGCAGAAGTAAGACAACACTCTACAATAGAGTCCACATCCCAGGACAAAGGACAGTTTCTAAATAGACTATGCCAAGCCTAAAAGGATTAAGTGGATCTGCTAGTGATTTGACTACCTGTCAAAACAAAACTCAGTACCCTTTAAAGGAAGGCAAAATAATCTGTGCTCCTTAATCACTAGAGGAGTGAATGCTGTGGTGGTTTGAATGTGTCTTGCCAGAATTTATGTGTTGGAAGCTTAATGCCTAGTGCTGTGACGTTAGGAGGTGGACCCTGCTGGGAAGTGTTTAGATCATGGGGGTGAAGGATGGATTAACACGACCACAAAAAGGGCTTTCAGGAGTGGGCTCGCTTTCTCGCCTCTGCCTTCCGCCATGTGAGGCCACGGTAAGAAGGACCCCCCCCCCAGATGCCGGTGCCTAGATCTTGCAGTTCCCAGCCTCCAGAACTGCGAGAGAATACATTTCTGTTCCTTATAAATCGCCCAGTCTCAAATATCCTGTTACGGAAGCATGAAAGGACTGAGGCAGTGAAAAAGAGGAAAATGTGACCCATAACCAAGAAAACTAAAAGCACTTGCCAGATGATCCAGATGTTGGAATTTGCTCTTTTTAAAGTCCTGTCTGCTTCATAAATGTGTTCAAGGGCTTAAAGGAAAACATGAACCTAGTTAGATGGAGGATTTCGGCGGCGAAGTGGAAACCATAAGAAGAACCAGAAGAAGATTCTAGCACTGAGACGTCAGTGGTCTCGGGTTCAGATTGGTAATCTGCTCGCGAGCACTGGGTTAGTGAGCGTTGAAGAAGGATGCTGGGCAGAGAACAGCCTGCACAGTATCCTGAGTCTCCTCGTGTGGCCCAGCAAGGACCCAACCGTGGCTTCCTAGCATAGCACCCCTTTCATTCGCATGGAGAGATGAGGTCAAAGTGCGTGTGGCCCGTCCACAGAGAGAGGCTGCTCCTTCGGTTTCGCATGTGGCCCAAGGCTTGCGTGCCAGATCGTAGCTTTCCTGGACCAAGGGCCATCTTCCAGATCAGGGTTTTCACAGAATCTGTCCGAGTTTCTCAGTGGAGACCAGCAGTGGAACACTGCTCAGTACTAAAAAGGAAAAAGAGCACTGCAGCTTGCAGCGACCGGGTGACTCTCAGAAACATGTTGAGCAAAAGAAGCCAGATACAAGCCAGTGTGATTCCAGCTACGCCAGGCAAATGCTAAGGGAGAAGAAAAGTTGTGTGGCGATGTCAGTATCAAGAGCCATTTGAATTCACAGGGAAAGGCACTCCAAGGGACTGAAATTATGTTGGTTAAAGTGTAATCCATTAAGAAGTTATAACTTTATGAACCTTTTCTCCACCTAGAAGTAAAACTACCCAAAAATGTGGCAATTGCAGTTAGATTTGCTTTTCCGGTTAAAGGTTTGAGCAGTGATGTGAAACCTGAATCATTGTTCTCCTTATAGCTATAATAGATGAGATTGATTCATAGCAAATAAAACTTAGGAAATGTGTATGAATACACAAAACGTATCCATTTCTAAGGAAGCAGCATGTCATGAACAGAGAACCGAGCCAAGCATGTGGCCCAGGCTCCGCATCTGCCCAGCTGGGCGTGGGAGGGCCTGTTTTATGGTCTTGTCCCAGGTTCTCGTCTGCTGAAGACCAAAGATTCTGGCAGACACGCTTGAGTTCCACTGAGTATTTACTGCACCAAGGTGAAATTCATAGAGAATATGGAAAGATTTTCCACACCAAGTCACTTTTGTGCCTTGAGGGAGTTATAAAAGGTAGCTTCTACTTGATCACATGTATTCTGGTATGCTAAAATCTGGGAATGCCTTCTGGAAAAGCCAGAAAGAAGTGGCCAGCAGCTCGTACCTAGTCACGAGAATATGCCAGTTACACGCGCAGCCCAGCATTTGTGTGTTATTTGGTGAGCTGCTTTGTCACTGATAACATGGGTTTCTGAAATGGTAAACACACTTATGAAAGTTCCAAGCTGTATGTGATACACTCCTTACTCCACGTATATGCCATATGCTCTCCATTCAGTGTGTATGAAAGCTGTGTAACAAATAGTGTGTAAGTGCAAAATGGAATCCAGTTCCGGGTAATTATTCAATCATAAACAAGGTTTTCATCCACATGAAAGTTGAGTGGGTCATTGGAAAGTCATGCCTAATGTGTGACAGTCCCCTGCATTGCGGGACATCTCATAGTCTTGGCCCCATCTGCTTAATCTCGGTGACGACCCGTCTCCCATAAGTTCCTCCAGTGGCCCCCAGAGGGCAGACGGCTCCACGCAGGGCTGCTCCACGCGGGGCTGCTCCACGCGGGGCTGCGGGCAGCACTGCACAGAAAGACACTGCAGGGTGTCCCAGAGGCTTTCTACAGGCATTTTAGGCATTTAAGTTTACTGTGGTATTAGGCAGAATACAAAATCAGCTAAGGGAGATTTTAATATTTCATATACATCTTTGTTTAAAGAGAAGAGCAAAGTGGACGACACGACCGTGTCATTTAGCCACAGCCGGAGAGAAGGGGTGTGTCGCCAGCCTCGGTGCCGCCCCAGTGTGACGTCACCGGCGGTCTGTGTTGTCTGGAAGGTGCTCACTCCTGGTGGTGGGACTGGCGTTCCGCTCCAGCATCGGACACGGGCTGCGCTGGTGTTTCACAAGGCACACGTAGAAGCACATGCAACCAGATGTGTGAAGGTTTAAAGCGCTCGGTGAAATGTGGTCCCACGACAGCTTCCACTGAAACACAGAGTGCTGTCGAGGAACAACCAAGTTAAAATAGACCTCAGCCCCCAGAGGCAGCTGATGAGCAAGTAATTTGGACCCTAATTCCCAAAGGCCCGGGTTCACAATCTACCACTGCCCAGGCCGGACTTTGCCTCCCCAAGTGCTTTTTTCCATCTGTAAGATTGTGTTTTATTGGTGCATTGTGAGGATCAAATGAGAATTGGCACATGGCAAGTGCTAGCACATTCCCTGTTCTGAGGTCTCTTCTGTGTGGACGGTGCTTGCCCGTTTCAGCATCCCCTGTTGGCCTCCATGGCCTCCTGTCCACCCCCTCCACCCTTCTCTGGGCCGTCAGCGGCACCTGCTGTGTCTTGCTGTTTGTGGACAACCTTACCCCCACACCCAGCAGTGTCTTACTTGAAGCACACCGCCTTTTATTTTATGGTTGATTCTCTTTCTTCAAGACCATCGAGCCTGAAAAAAAAAAAAAAAAGGTCAATATAAATTAATTTGGGGGGCATTTTTCTGGAATAAGGACAAAACCTATTTGCTGGCATTTCAAGTTTGTCCCAAATGTTTTACACAGAAAGTTGTCACCTGAAACTGCGTTCATACCCATCACTCCTGAGGTCCATTCTTAGCTCTGAGTAATTCCTTTAACATACTTCTCTGTGGTCTGCCCAAGTGTGTGTATATGTGTATGTGTGTGTGTGTGTGTGTGGGCATGTGTGCGAATGTCTCTAGTTAAATATAATTCTGAGTACTTTTGAGAAAAGTCAGACTCTGCTTTGAGGGATCACTAGCATGAACATAAGTTGCTTTTTTTGAGTTACAAGATGTTTGGTACAACTATTCCGCCAACAGTCAGTGTTACTGCCTACTGAGATGCACATGAGGGAAAAACTCACTCTCAGAAGTGAGCAGTACCCCTTGCTGATTAAGAGAGCCCGTGAGCTTTTGGTGCTGGGGTTCCCTGCTGGCCTCTGGTGGGGGCCGTGGGGAGTGTAACTTGGGCTCCTAGAGTTTGGGCGGAACGAGTGTCAGGTGACTTCCTTGATCCTCTTTAAAAACATATAAGTTGGATTCAGCACTACAGAGTTGCAGTTGGGGTTTGCAATGAATTAAACACTAGTAACATGAATTTTCTTTTTCCCCGAAAGCAGTTTAATACTAAAACGAAGGATGGGTTCACGGTGAACACAAAAGTTCCCAGCCTCAAAGACCAAGGGAAGGAATATGACGGATTCACGATTACTATTACGGGAGACAAGTATGTGTGCTTCCTGCTGTGGGTATAAAACTAGAGACTGGAGCAAGAGGTGTGCATGTGCTTTTTGTTGCCATAGAGGTTGGTCATACTGGGCTTTTGCTAAAATGAACGGCAAATTTAGGGCTTATCCTAAAATGAAAAGCTACCAAGGTCCAGGGTGCACTTAAAACCAGTTATTTTTTTTTTTTTTTTTTTCACTCTGTTGCCCAGGCTAGAGTGAGTGCCATGGCGTCAGCCTAGCTCACAGCAACCTCAATCTCCTGGGCTCAAGCGATCCTTCTGCCTCAGCCTCCCAAGTAGCTGGGACTACAGGCATGTGCCACCATGCCCGGCTCATTTTCCTATATGTATTAGTTGGCCAATTAATTTCTTTCTATTTATAGTAGAGACGGGATCTCGCTCTTGCTCAGGCTGGTTTCGAACTCCTGACCTCGAGCAATCCGCCCGCCTCGGCCTCCCAGAGAGCTAGGATTACAGGCGTGAGCCACTGCGCCCGGCCTTATTTTTTTTTTTTAATGTGACACCCAAGAGTATGACACCAGCAGGCACATTTTCTAACAACTTTCTAGATACTAAGTATAATGTCTAATGTAGTTTGTGAAAAGCATTCCTCCCAGTTTTTGTCATTCCTTTTTGGAATGGGGGGAGAGGCTTTTATTAATAGTAATGAAATGAAAGAAGGTGAGTGGTTGGCAGCTTGAAGTCCATTGTAGTATTTTAAAAATATATATATAGATTTTTAACAATTACATGAGTAGTGCAGTCTTATTGTAGAAAATTTAGAATACACAGATGAGCAAAATTAACAAAGTAAAAATCAAGCTATTTTCCTTAAGACTGAAGTCACACTGTACGTATTGTTTTGTGACCTGTTTCTTTTCTGCCCTTTCCATTGCACTATCATGGTCGTTTTACCAGTCACGGTCTTATAAGCATTTTTAGTAGCTGCATAGTACTCTGTTGTATAGAGGCTGTAGAATTTCTCCTACTGATTTTTTTTTTATTGACCATTTAGGGTGTTTCCCATTTTTTTTTACTTTATAAATAAAACTAAAGTGAATGTTTTTATTAACTATAGTTTTATTTATATCTTATATCTAAACTTCATATGGCAACCTCCATATACCTTGAATTTTGGATGAAATTACCTTGTAACTGCATGCACGCACATGTACACACGCACCCCTTGTTCAGTGCGTGGCCTGCGGAACAGTAAACCCTTGCACAGTTCCTGCCGGCTGGGCCATGGGGCTCTGACTTCCATCCTCCAGCCCCTCTGCCTCCCGGGCTCTGGCTTTCTCATGTGCTTTTACTCTCAAGCTACCAGGAGCCGCCTCTGCAAGTTCCAGGTCAAAACTTGACCAGGCCTTCACGAGTAAACACCACTAAAGCAACTTCCAGATTTTGTGGCATTTCCATATCCTTGAAGTCTCCATCTCTACTCCAAGCTGCTTATCAAAGTATTTTCCAGATAAAGATCATTCTCCCCCAGCAGGCATTCCAGGGTGTGCTATTTAAAGTTAAAAGTGTTTTCCTACCTTTTCACATATCCATGATGTGTATCCTCAGATCAGATTCCCAGGCAGAAATGGAATTACTAAATAAAAGAGTATAGTTGACCCTTGAATGATGCAGGGGGTAGGGGCGCCACACCCCACTTCTCCTGACACAGTCAAAATTTGCATGTAACTAACTCCCCCAGAACTTTACTAATGGCCTACTATTGACTAGAAGCCTTACAAATAACCTAAACAGTTGATTAACACATATTTTGAATGCTGTACGTATCATATACTATATTCTTATATTAAAGTAAGCTAGAGAAAGGAAAATGTTTTTAAGAAAATCATAAGGAAGAGAAGATGTATTTCCTATTGATTAAGTGGCTATAGATCAACACAAAGGTCTCATTCTTGTCATCTTCACACTGAGTAGGCTGAGGAGGAGGAAGAAGAGGAGGAGGGTTGGTCCTTCTGTCTCAGGGCTGGCAGGGGCAGAAGACAATCCTTATATAAGTGGGCCTGTGTGGTTCAAACCTCTGTTGTTCAAGGGTCAGCTGCACATGGAATTGCCTCCCCTGAAACATGGCATCTTTCCTCAACTGCCTGTTCCAGCCCACCTGCTGCCTCCCTTGCTCTGGGCTTCCCAACCGCTCGGGCACACTCTTGCCTGGTGTCCTGTCTCCCGTCTGCTTTGACAGTGCTTCAGCAGCACTGTTGAGGCTCCACTGTACTGGCCATTGCCTGTCGCACCTAAAACCAGCTTCCCTGCCAGGCATTCACAGCCTCCTGTGACGTGGCCTCAGACATTTCCTGCTTGACCCAGGCCGTCTTCCTGTCACAGCCTGGCCTGCTAGTCCGACTGGACTGCTTGTTTCGGGAGCTCACCTCCACTTCCCTGTCTGGGTCTGTCACTCCTGACCTTCAGGATCCATGTTCAGGTTGCTTCTCCCATGAGACCTTTCCTGCTTTCCCGCATGTCTTCCAGATTAGATCCAATCTCATCTTTTTCTCTACTGAAGGGCTGTATGTTATGGCCCCAGGCATGGTTGCATAGTAATTTGCAGCCCTGTTTCTCCCTCCCCTCCTCAATCAAGGCAGCAGCTGGGCTGCTGTAGGATCTAAGAACTAAGAGATATGTCTTCCTAATGGTGCTAGGCAAGAAATACTTGTTGCATCAAACTTAGATCCTCCGTAGAGCCTCAGTGGAGATAAGCATGTGGCAGAGGCTTAAAAGGACAAAAACCAGCAAAGTCCCTGAACTTCCTTCTTATGCACAGTTCTTTTTTTTGAGACAGAGTCTCACTTTGTTGCCCAGGCTAGAGTGAGTGCCGTGGCGTCAGCCTAGCTCACAGCAACCTCAAACTCCTGGGCTCATCAAGCAATCCTTCCGCCTCAGCCTCCCAAGTAGCTGGGACTACAGGCATGCACCACCATGCCCAGCTAATTTTTTCTATATATATATTAGTTGGCCAATTAATTTCTTTCTATTTATGGTAGAGACGGGGTCTTGTTCTTGCTCAGGCTGGTTTCGAACTCCTGACCTTGAGCAATCCACCCGCCTCGGCCTCCCAAAGAGCTAGGATTACAGGCATGAGTCACCATGCCCGGCCTTATGCACAGTTCTTGCTCCTGGTCTTCAGTTGTGCTGAAGTGGCTGTTTGAGAAAATATTTAGGGACACATGTTGTTTGAGCAGCATATGGGCATTTAAATGCCTTCTTCACTATGTATAATTGTTTCCCGTATGTTAGCTTAAGCTCATATAATAAGTACATGTGCTTAGACTTACTGTGAGCAAATGAGTAACTGGTCACTTAAATTGTGAGGAAAGTATCATGTTTTATGGAAAAATGCATTCTTATAAAACATACCTCACCTGTCTATAGTTAGATACGTTTAGTGCCACATCAGCATGCTGTTTGCTGTTCTTTCTTTCTTTTTTTTTTTTTTTTAGCTTTCTGTATTTGGCTGTTTAAACTGTATAATGCATGCCTTTGACACCCATTCTTGTATTTTCAGAGTTGGCAATATACTATTTTCTGTGGAAACTCAAACCACAGAAGAAAGGACGCAATTATATCATGCTGAAATAGATGCACTTTATAAAGATCTGACAGCAAAAGGAAAAGTATTGATTCTTTCATCAGAATTTGGGGTAGGTTTCTTTGTTTCCATTGTTTACACTCTTCCTGTGATTCCTTTGTAAACTTTTTAAAATCTCTGTCCTTTCATTGAGACTGTACATCTTATGCTGAAAGCAGATTGAATAGACCTATAAATACTCTTTAATATAAACAATTTCCCATATTCAGTAACTACAGCAATGGGGGAGGATGATAAATTTATTATTTATCAGTCATTAGTACTGTGTACTGTCAGAAGTTTAGGCTTTGATAGGATTTAAATGAAAAAGTTGGTCCATAATGAAAATGGCCTGTGCTTCACCTTTTCTTCCGTTTTCCTCCCTTCACTGTGGTTTTTGCTTGTACCATACATTTGCAATGAGCTTTTTTTTTGTTTGTTTTTGTTTTTGTTTTATTTTTTTTTTTGAGACAGAGTCTCGCTTTCTTGCCCAGGCTAGAGTGAGTGCCGTGGTGTCAGCCTAGCTCACAGCAACCTCAAACTCCTGGGCTCAAGCAATCCTCCTGCCTCAGCCTCCCGAGTAGCTGGGACTACAGGCACGAGCCACCATGCCCGGCTGATTTTATATTATATATATTAGTTGGCCAATTAATTTCTTTCTATTTTTATGGTAGAGACGGGGTCTCGCTCAGGCTGGTTTTGAACTCCTGACCTTGAGCAATCCGCCCGCCTCGGCCTCCCAGAGTGCTAGGATTACAGGCGTGAGCCACCGCGCCCAGCTGCAATGAGCTTTTGAACGTGAGCCAGATGATGCATTCGCACTGGTTCACAGCAAGGAAAGCACACTGGAGTGCTGTGCACTGCACTTCGCAGCCCTTTTCTCGTCTGGGGCCTTGTTCCTTGGGTACCTGCCACTGCCAGAGGTGGGCTCCTTACAGACCTTCTCTCCCTGCCATGCCCCCATCCTGCATCCTGCAATGGATGCCCCTAACTCTTGGGATGCCACCTTTGTCCTCTCCGACATTCAGTCAGGTCTTCCATGTAATTAAGCATCTACGTCTATATACATAATTAAGCATATTTATCAACTAAGTCTATCTTGGTGTTGGGGAAGGGGCTTCCCTGGATCTGTTGAGGTAGGGAACATGTTGTTTGAGAAAGCATATTTGGTATTAATAAGTGCTTCTTAAAATTTTAATCGCAATATGTATTTTGACATTTCAAATAATCATCAAAGGAGATTTTTATGTTTATCAAAAAATTGCAGTTTAAGAAACATTGCTCTAGATTGAACTTTGTATATATTTCCTTTCGCTGGAAAAAATGATACAAAAGAATATTTAAGAATGTGAAAAGTAGGTTCTTGGTTCTTATAGGAGAGGAATGGAACAATACTTTTCTTGATATAAATGATTCTTAAGTGTCTTGTCACCTAATGAAAAATTAGTTTGTAATTGAGTATGTAAGTTCATGAGCCTGTGTCTTTTTTTTCTAGGAGGCTGATGCTGTCTGTAACTTAATCTTATCCTTAGTTTATTACTTTTATAATTTAATGCCACTCTCTCGAGGATCCAGGTAAGTGATATCTTGTCATTAAAATTTTTTTAAATTTAGAAATGTGTTATTTTTTGCTTATCCTATTGTGAATATAGGTATAAAAGTATAGCAAGAATTGGTGAGAGGCCCCTGTTTTTTTCCAAAATCCACTTAAAAAATTATTTCCTTGATCTGCCATATCATCTAAAGAATTATAAAAGATAGTTGTAATATAGTGTGTTTATGTTTGATAGGGATTCATCCATTCAACAAAAATATACCTAAGGTTTACTGTGTGTCACACGTCATGCTCAGTGTTTTTTTGTTTTGAGACAGAGTCTCGCTTTGTTGCCCAGGCTAGAGTGAGTGCCGTGGCGTCAGCCTCGCTCACAGCAACCTGAAACTCCTGGGCTCAAGCAATCCTCCTAGGATCCTCCTAGCAATCCTCCTCTCAGCCTCCCGAGTAGCTGGGACTACAGGCATGTACCACCATGCCTAGCTAATTTTATATATATTAAGCATCTAAGTCTATATACATAATTAAGCATCTAAGTCTATATATTAGTTGGCCAGTTAATTTCTTTCTATTTATAGTAGAGATGGGGGTCTCACTCTTGCTCAGGCTGATTTCGAACTCCTGACCTCAAGCAATCCACCCACCTCGGCCTCCCAGAGTGCTAGGATTACAGGTGTGAGCCACCGCGCCCGGCCCATGCTCAGTGTTTTAATTTTTGGCATTTGTCAGCCCCTTCCTCTTTTCCCTTCTTCTCCTTCTTCCATTTTTTTGGCCATTAGTTGACCTTTAATCCTAATGTTTTATACTTTTGGGTCATTCCTTAATGTTTTTATTTTGGATAAATTCTTGCTACTTGTATAAGTGCATCAGGAGTTTTTTAGGTGTCATTAAAACAAAGGATATGTCTGTAAAGTTTTCATTTTATTCTCTTTCTTCCCAGTACTATGTGCAGTAAATCATGTAAATAAATGCATACTGCCATTGCTAGCACATATTTAAACTTGAGATGTTTTGGCTAAAAATAATACCGTTGAATGTCTTTATCTTTAATTAATGCTTCAGAAAGTAAAATTCCCCTAAATATGGTAGTCAATTTGGTTATAGTTTTTTTTTTTCTTAGCATTACCATACAGATAAATATTCTTTTTTTTTTATTTCATCATATTATGGAGGTACAAATATTGTTAGGGTTACAAATATTGCCCCTGCCCCCCCCCCATGTGTCCAATCCCCCGGTGGTGTGCATCACACACGCGGTTATAGTTTTTAAAAGGCATTGAAACTAAATAGGAACATAAATATTATCAGCATAATTATTGCTAATTGCGTCCACTAAACAAATGTGCGTAAGGCCTGTTCACACCACCTCTGTGGACCACCCAGGCGGGCACAGCACAGAACTCCCTGCACTCGTCCTCCCTGCAGCAGCTCTGTTGGCTGACATAGGACATTGAAAGAAGTGTAGCTCCAATTGTTCTCTCCTCTGTCCCTCATCCCTATATCTGTTCAGTACTAAAGGCTATGGATTCTGCCTTCCCTGCCTCTGTTTCTCTCTTCCTTAAGCTCTCTGCGGCTAGCTTTGCTCCTGTCCTCTTTGTGCCCAACCTCTCTCCTGCACCTTCCCAAAGCCACTGGCTCAAGTATGAGCTTGGTGGCATTGTGCTCAGTGTGCAGTGTCAGTCTCTACCCTGTGCTAGTTTGCCTTGGCCATGGCACCTCTTTATAGCTGCCTTTTCTTTTCCCTTGTGGCCCTCCTGCAGGTCCTCCACCAGCCCTCTCCACCACACCTCCTTGCCTTCTCCTCTGTCCCCTCCACCCCCAGCCCCAGGGTCCTTAAGGATGCAGCGCATGTGTCTGTAGCCTCTGTGAAGTCTTCCTTGGTAGGTGACCCGAGGAATCGACTCAACCTGTTTTCCTTGGTGTCCACTCAGGGCGCTTAGAAGCTTGCTCTCAAGGTATCTGTGCCATTCTGTCACCCCTGCTAGGCTGCACACTGTCAAAGGCAAGATCTGTTATTATCATAAACCAACTGGTCCTCGGAAAAGCACAACTCAATGGTGCCAATGCTGGGTCCCGTGAACTTTTGCCATCCACGCTCCACCCAGAAGCAGCCAGCCCCTTCTCTCTCCTCTTGCCATGAATGCAAGTACAATTTGTTCCAAACATCTTCTACCCCAGCTCTGCACCCACTGCCCTATGCTTGTCTTGGAGTGACTAGGGCAGGAGACCTTGCCTCACAAGCCCCTGAGCAAGCAGACAAAGGTACCCTGCAATGTCCTCAGCTTCATAGAGCCCCCATAGTTCACACACAAAGCTACAAACTACCAGGCTATTAGTGCATTCTGAGAATATGTTCTGCTTTTCTTCTTTGGAGGCCAACATTGTTAATGCTTAAAAAATAAGATTAATATATTTATATTTACAAAGTTTATTATATATATGCATTTTGAAGCCAAGCCTCATGGAGGACCACAAAACAACCAGAAATCAAATAACAACATGGCAGTAGACAGTTCTTACCTATCAATAACGTTGAACATAAACGGACTAAATTCCAATCAAAAGACATACAGTGGCTGAATGGATTAAAAAAAATAAGAACCAACTATATGTTGTCTGCAAGAAATCCACTTTACCTGTAGAGACACACATAGACTGAAAATAAAGGGATAGAAAAAGATATTCCATGCAAATGGAAACCATAAAAGAGCAGGAGTAGCTATACTTCTATCAGATAAAATAGATGCCAAGACAAATATGTAAAAAGAGATGAAGTCATTACATAAAGGAGTCAATTCAGCAAGAGTATATAACAATTCCAAATATATATGCACCCAACACTGCAACGCCCAGATATATAAAGCAAATATTATCAGAGTTAGAGAGATAGACCCCAATACAAGAATCATAGGAGACCTCAACACTCCACTTTTAGCATTGGACAGATCATCCAGGCAGAAGACCAACAAAGAAACATTGGACTTAAACTGCATTTAACCAAATAGACCTAGTAGATATTTACAGAATGTTTCATCTAACAGCTTCAGAGTCCACATTCTTCTCAGCTCATGGATCATTCTCAAGGATAAACCATATGTTAGGTCACAAAATAAGTCTTTAAAAATCCAAAAAATTGAAGGCATACCAAGTATTTTCTCCAGCCACAATGGAATATAACTAGAAATCAATCACAAAAGGAACATTGGAAACTATAGAAAGACATGAAAATTAAACAATATGCTCCTGAATGACCAGTGGGTCAATAAAGAGATTAAGAAGGAAATTTAAAACTTTCTTGAAACAAGTGAAAATGAAAAGTCAACATTTCAAAAACTATGAGATACAGCCAAAGCAGTAATAAGAGGAAAGTTTATAACAATAAGTGCTATATCAAAAAAGTAGAAAAGCTTCAAATAAACAACATAATGATGCATCTCAAAGAACTAGAAAAACAAGAGCAAACCAAACCCAAAATTAGTAGAAGAAAAGAAATAATAAAGATCAGAACAGAAATAAATGAAATTGAAACCAAAAAGTATAAAAGATCAGTGAAACAAGAAGTTGGATATTTGAAAACATAAACAAAATTGATGCACCTTTAGCCAGACTAAGAAAAAAGAGAGAAGACCGAAATAAATAAAATCAGAGATGAAAAGGGAGACATTATAATTGATACTGCAGAAATCCAAAGGATCCTTACAGACTGCTATGAGCAACTATATGCCAATAAATTAGAAAATCTAGAGGAAATGGTTAAATTCCTAGACACGTACAACCTACCAAGATTGAACCAGGAAGAAACCCAAAATCTGAATAAGCCAATAACAAGTAATGAGATAGAAGTAATAATAAAATGTCTCCCATCAAAGAAAAGCCTAGGACCTAATGGCTTCACTGCTGAATTCTACCAAGCATTCAAAGGACTAATACCAATCCTGCTTAAACTCCAAAAAATTGAGGAGGAGGGGATACTCCCAGACTCATTCTACGAGGCCTATATCACCCTGATGCCCAAAGCAGACAAAGGCACAACAACAACAAAAAAAAGAAAACTATAAGCCAATATCTGATGAACATAGACACAAAAATCCTCAAAATACTAGCAACATGAATTCAACAACATATTAAAAGGATTATTCATCATGATCAAGTGGGATTCATCCCAGGGATACAAGCATGGTTGAACATACACAAATCAATCAGTGTGATACATCTTTGTATCAACAGAACAAAGGACAAAACCATATGATTATTTCAATTGATGCTGAAGAAGCATTTGATAAAATTCAACATCTCTTCATGATAAAAACTCAAAAAAATGGGTATAGAAGGAACTTACCTCAACACGATAAAAGCTGTGTATGACAGACCCACTGCTAGTATCATACTGAATGGGGAAAAACTGAAAGCCTTTCCTCTAAGATCTGGAACATGACAAGGATGCCCACTTTCACCACTGTTATTCAACATAGTACTAGAAATTCTAGCTGGAGCAAACAGAGAAGAGAAGAAAGTAAAGGGCATCCAGGTTGGAAAGGAAGAAGTCAAATTATCCTTATTTGCAGACTATATGATCTTACATTTAGAGAAACCTAAAGACTCTACAGACAAACTTATTACAACTGATAAATTCAGTAAAGTTGCAGGATATAAAAATCAGTAGCATTTCTATATCCCAACAGTAAACAGTCTGAAAAAGAAACCAAGAAAGTAATCCCATTTACAATAGCTACAAATTAAGTAAGATACCTAGGAATAAACTTACTCAATGAAGTGAATGATCTCTACAATGAAAACTATAAAACATTGATGAAAGAAATTGAAGAGGACACAAACATTGGAAAGATACTCCATGCTCATGGATTGGAAGAATTAATATTGTTAAAATGTCCATATTAAAGCAGTCAATCTACAGATTCAATGGAAACCCCATCAAAATGCCAATGACATTCTTCACAGAAATAGAAAAAATAATCCTCAGATTTTTATGGAACCACAAAAGACCCAGAATAGCCAAAGGCATCCTGAGTAAAAAGAAGAAAACTGGAGGAATCATATTACCTGACTTCAGATTATGCTACAGAGCTGTGGTGACTGAAAAAGCATGGTATTGTCATAAAAACAGCCATGTATTAATAGATAAATGGAACGGAGTAAAGAATCTAGAAATAAATCTGTACATCTAGAGTGAACTTATCTTTGACAAAGGTGCCAAGAACATACAGTGGGAAAGGACAGTCTCTTCAATAAATGGTACTGGGAAAACTGGATATCCACATGCAGAAGAATGAAACTAGGCCCATATCTCTAAACTAGACCCTTATCTTATATATAAAAATCAAATAGAAATGCATTAAAGACTTAAATCTAAGACATGAAACTACTTAAAGAAAACATTTGGGGAAATGCTTCAAGATATTGATCTGGGCAAGGACTAAGAGTAATACCCCAAAGCAGTGGCAACCAGAACAAATTTGGACAAATGGGATCACATCAAGCTAAAAAGCTTCTGCACAGCAGAGGAAACAATCAACAAAGGGAACAGAGAACCTACAGAATGGCAGAAAATATTTGCAAACTGCCCATCTGACAAGGGACTAATGACTAGAATATAAGGAGCTCCAATAACTCATTAGGAAAAAAAAATGAAATAATCTGATTAAAAATGGGCAAAGGATCTGAATAGACATTTCTGAAAAGAAGGCATACAAATGGCCAACGGATATATGAAAAAATACTCAACATCATTATTGCAGAGAAATGCAAATCAAAACTACAATGAGATACCATCTCACCCCAATTAAAATGGTTTTTATCAAAAAGGCAATCACAAATGCTGGTGAGGAAATAGCAAAAAGGAAACCATCGTACACTGTTGGTAGGAATGTAAATTAGTGCAACCAGTATGGAGAACAGTATGGAGGTTCCTCAAAAAACTTCAAATAGAACTGCCATATAACCCAGCAATCCCACTGCTGTACATCTGAAGGAGAGGAATTAAGCATATCAAAACAATATCTGCACTCCCCTGTTTATTGCAGCACCATTCACAATAGCCAAGATTTGGAATTAACCTAAGTGTCCATCAGTGTATGAATGGACAAAGAAGTTGTGGTGCATATACACAATGGAATATTATATAACCACAAAGAAGAATGAAATCCTGCCATTTGCAACAGCATGGATGGGACTGGAGGACATTATGTTAAGTGAAATAAGCCAAGCACAGAAAGACAAATCTTGCATGTTCCAACTCATATGTGGGAGCTAAATATTAGAAACAAGAGATCACATGGGGACAGAGAGTAGAATGATGGTTACCAGAGGTTGGGAAGGGTTATTGGGGAGCCGGGAATAAAGTGAGGTTAGTCAATGGGTGCAAAAATATAGTTAGATAGAATGAACAATATTGGATAGCACAACAAAGTGACTATAATCAATAGTAAGTTAAGGTATGCATTAAAATAACTAAAAGAGTGGAATTGGAATGTTCCTAACACAAAGAAATGATAAATAACTGAAGTGATAGATACCCCAATTACTCTGACTTGCTTAATTCACATTGTATGCCTGTGTCAAAACATAATATATACCCTATAAAGATATACAGCTGTTATGTACCCATAATAATTAAAAATAAATTTTTTTAAAAAAAAGCTAAGCTTTATGAAGTTGTTAAAAAAATTGGGCACATTTTAAAATATATTATTTTACAAGAATAGGAAAAAACAAGTAGGAAAAGAACTCCTAATAAAAGGAAACACTTTTTTGTCCCTCAGAAAAGGAATGTTGTTGGTGTTGTTTACCCTTAAATTAATAAAATTAGTAAATATTTTAAGACAAGTAGAGATATTCTCATGTTTAATGAAACATTTTTTATTCCAAAGAATTCTTAAGTAAAATTTTTTCTTTTATGATGGAAAATCCATGGTGAAATTTAACATGATAACTGTTTATGGAGCAGGACAGATTTGACAGTTGTTCTTTATTTAAATAGTGTCATCGCTTACTCGGTCATCGTGGGGGCACTGATGGCAAGTGGAAAAGAAGTAGCAGGAAAAATTCCCAAAGGGAAGGTACGTTGGAGCTGGAAGGGGAAAATGCTCGATTGTGTGTTAAATCCCAGTCTGTGCATTTTTATTTTAAGGTATGTGAGTTAAACACATCTCAAACTGTAACTTTTTCCTCTGTGTTGAGTGACATTCCTAAATTTCTTTCTTTTGCAGTTAGTTGACTTTGAAGCCATGACAGCCCCTGGCTCAGAAGCCTTTAGCAAAATAGCCAAAAGCTGGATGAACTTGAAAAGGTAACTGGTTGATGAGGGTTGACAAAGGGACATTTCCACTAGGGCAGGGAAGCGGCTTCCTGTTACTTTGGAGCTCTGTGAAAACTGGAATTGTTATGCTCATTTTATAAGTTAATATTTACTACAACAAATTTAATCCACCTGTTCAAGGTTAAAACGTTTTACTGTTGTGTATAAGACCCTTTAAGGGTGAGTGTGTGGATAAAAGTGAACAATGAATAAAAAGTAAGGAAAATAGTGACAGAAATATTACAAATGTCTTATTGATATAAGCAGGCATTTGTTTACCCTTTATTCCCAACTCTTAGGCTTGGTATTCAAGAGTGAACTTGGGCCGGGCGCAGTGGCTCACGCCTGTAATCCTAGCACTCTGGGAGGCCGAGGCAGGCAGTTTGCTCAAGGTCAGGAGTTCGAAACCAGCCTGAGCAAGAGCGAGACCCCGTCTCTACTATAAATAGAAATAAATTAATTGGCCAACTAATATATATAGAAAAAATTAACCGGGCATGGTGGCACATGCCTGTAGTCCCAGCTACTTGGGAGGCTGAGGCAGGAGGATCGCTTGAGCCCAGGAGTGTGAGGTTGCTGTGAGCTAGGCTGACGCCACAGCACTCACTCTAGCCTGGGCAACAAAGCGAGACTCTATCTCAAAAAAAAAAAAAAAAAAATGAAAACCCATTTTACCTTACTCTGGGTGGTAGCCCTTAGCCTACTGAATTGCATTTTATTACACTCAGTTTTGAGAAGCTGGCACTGTATTATAATTTAAGCAGGGAGTATGTGTGAGCAGTGACCAGCAGCCAGGAGTTGTCCCTGACGGTCATTGTGTGCAAGGGGTCTAGCAGACCACGATCTCTTAGTAAAATTGAACTCTCAGATGCTTTAGTAGTTAATAAAGAATAAGCCAGTCTCACCATGTGACCTTACTTATTCTTGCCCCTGCTCTTTGTTTTTTATATCCCATCTACCCCCAGTTTTGCCTTTCCCCTTTATTTGACATAGGAGCCACGTGAGTCATTGCTCACTGGGTAATTTGTACTCTTGTTTAAAATGGAGAAATTTGTGCCTGTAGTCCCCTGTTGCTCAATTTGTAAGGATGCCCTTAGCTCTGTGATGAAAACCTCTCAATAGTTATACCAAATCCCGGTACATTCTTGTTCTGGTTTTATTGGTTTGCATGTGTCAGTAGTATGACCACGTGGCCAAAGAGCCTGCTGCCATTCCTTACATAACTGTACAGCGCGAATCTTTCAACAGTTCTTTCAGGAAAGAATAACAGCACTACCTTATGTTGTGCAGTTAACATTTCACAGTGTACTTTGTCATACCTCGTCTCGTTCAGTTACAAACACTGTTGTTACAAATAAGGGAAGCAGGGCCTCGAGAAATAGCCAAAGCTAACGAGGAGCAAAGCTGGACCCGAAGCCTGTGTCTTCTGGCTCCAAGTCCAGCAGGTACCACAGCAGGACCTGTGGCACATCACGGTGTGTAAATCAGAGTTTAATTCTCCTTTTCCAAGTTCTACTTGAATTCCAAGCGGCTGGTGCCATGAGCCTACTGATACCCCGTCCATCGCTGGAGAAGGCTCTGGTCTGTTCACGGCTCCTCCCTGCTTTTCTGATAACGTCTGATGTGATACACATAGGGGTGAATCTAATAATAGAACTAAATATAAGCTTTGTCTCCCCCCTTTTTTTTTGTAAAATTGTGTTAATTTTCATGCCCCTTCTTTGTGTTTTTCTTCTTCAGCATTTCACCTTCTTATAAGACGCTGCCATCGGTATCAGAGACGTTTCCAGCACTGAGGTCGATGATTGAGGTGCTAAACACGGACTCCTCGCCACGTTGTCTTAAGAAACTCTAGTTCCGCTGTGGGATTTATACAAGTAAAGGGCCGGACCTCTTGCTTCTTAAGTTATTTTTTAAAACACGGAATTATAAAGAAATTAGGTCCTTTGTTACTTTTGATACTGACTTTTGATAGGAATTGAATACTTGAAATCATTTTCTTTACCTTCCCGAACCGTAACAAAAATCATGAAAGAGGGTTTCTGTGGGGAGGGAAAAAAGCTACTTGACGGGGAGGAAAAGTGTAGGTATTAGCCAGCGGCCTGTTGGTTTCCACTTTAAAAAGCATACAGCTCCTTCCTTACACCAAAAGAAAAGTTCTCTTGAACAACCAAAAATTAATAATGAAGATGAACAAAACCAACAACCAAATAGGAGTGTTTTCATTCCTTTATTTTTCAAAGACTTTCTTTTTAGGTACATTGTAATAGGGTATCTTTTTTTTTTTTTTAACTCACATAATCTCCCTGTGTGGGTTCTCCGTTTTATTTGAACTGCGGAAGATTCCTGGGCCGTCAGTATGTGTCACCCAGCCAAGGACACTTGTTTTGAACGATACAAACAGTATTCACCAATGTCCCAAACACTGAATTATCGAACCATTATTTTTTTTCTCTGTTGGAAAATAATAAACTGGGGTGATTTCTGTAAATCACCAGTTTTTGGCACTGGATTATGTATGTTTTTATTGTGTGGGCTAGTTTCACTTTCAGGTACAAGAACATTCAGAAAACTACTCATTGCTTTCCAGACAGGGTAAGTGACAATAAGTAAAATAGGTTGATTGAACTGTTGCCATTTCCAAGTCACTTTCATTTTTGTTCTTTAATTTTTGTTAAAGAGTCAAAAACAGGCTGGGCGCCTGTAATCCTAGCACTCTGGGAAGCCGAGGCAGGAGGATTGTCTGAGCTCAGGAGTTCGAGACCAGCCTGAGCAAGAGCGAGACCCCGTCTCTACTAAAAATAGAAAGAAATTAGCTGGGCAACTAAAAATATATAGAAAAAATTAGCCGGGCATGGTGGCACATGCCTGTAGTCCCAGCTACTCGGGAGGCTGAGGCAGGAGGATCGCTTGAAGCCAGGAGTTTGAGGTTGCTGTGAGCTAGGCTGATGCCACGGCACTCTAGCTCGCACAACAGAGTGAGACTCATTCTCCAAAAAAAAAAAGTCAAAAACAAACTATTTGCTACTTTCTATTATGTAGTTTTTTTCTTGAAAGTTTACGTTAGAGTAGCATAACCATGTCCCATATTTAGAAGACTGTGCTCACGGTGATTTCCTAGCACTGGTCACTAGCAGAGTTATCTGTGAGTCTCGGTAGCAAGTGTCCTGCCTAATTGATTTCCAACAGCCGTGGAGTCGCCCTATGGGCAGGTGCTGTTCTGGTACCCACATGAGCTTCAAAACAGCCACGAGGATGGGGCTCGTGTTCTCGTCTCGTCTGGGCTACCACCAAAGGAGGAGGGGAGAATGCTGTAAAGCGTTAGGCACATCTCATTTTATAAACAGATTTCATTGTCCACAGATCAGTTTTCTCCTGAGACTAATGCTGCACTAAAAAAAAAAAAAAAAAAAAAAATGAGCATCTTTACTTCTGTGCTACAGGTAAGGGAGTTGAGGCTTTGGGAGATTAATGGAGCCCAGGAGTGTGAGGTTGCTGTGAGCTAGGCTGACGCCACAGCACTCACTCTAGCCTGGGCAACAAAGCGAGACTCTATCTAAAAAAAAAAAAAAACCACTGCACGTCGGATGGAGCTTGAATCCTGCCCAAAGCGTTGCGCCCCCCGCTCTTCCCTTCATCAGGCCATGGCCCTCCCTCCAACTGCGCACTTCGGCCAGAACCCAGCGGCCCCTGAGTCTGCACATGCCCTTCCGTCAGTTTGCCAAATGAATCACCACTCAGCAGTTCACCAAAATACCATATCTGGTTCGTGTCCAAACATCCTCCTACTGCGCCCCACAGCCAACGCTACTTACAGGTCAACTCATTAAAACAAATTAAAATAAAATTAAATCTTGTCCTCAGTCTCCCAGCGAGCATTTCAATGTGTCTCGGTACCACATGCGGCTCCAATTGGACACCCGCGGATAGAACAGAACATCCCGTGCACTCAAAGAACATCTCCATCAGATACGCACTGCTACCCCTCAAACAAAGAAGCCTCCACACAGCTGCATGACGGTCGTTTGTGTGGTAGAGTCGCCTGTGGTCTTAACAACGGTTTTGAAGGGGTTAGGTAAAAACCCAGTGGTCTTCACCAGTTGCCCAGTGAGTCACACCCAGGTGCCCAGGAACATACTGAAGAAACATCAACAAAGTGTCATGAAAACCTACCTTGCTGCACGCTGTGATTTCCCCCAACTGCATCATGAAACCAGCATGTCCTTGAGAATATTACAGTTGGATTAAGCAGCAGTCCCTTTTTTCTTCAACTACCTGTCCATAAATCTAAAACCCTTTATTCTACAGGTCTCAAACAAGTTACCAGTAAGTAGTTTTACAAAAAGTTGGGGCACATATATATCGAACAAATAAGTCTCTGTAACGCTTGAATATATAGAGACGTCGTGTCTTCACTGGCTAGAGAATTAACCTGGTCCAATCAAGGTACTCCAGACGTGTCCATTTTAAACTGCTTTGGAAGCTCCAGCTCATTTCTCTTTGCTTCGGGGACAGTCCTGACGTCCGTAAGCCCGGCCAGTCTTGGCTGCGCAGGCCTTGGTCTTGATGTCGCCACAGCTTGAGTTTTAAGCCCCTGCTCCCTGTCTAGGGCAGCAGCCCCCGTAGTGCTGGACCACTGTGTGGTGGGACCACTGCCGCCCAAAGACTACGGCCACCAGAGCACTGCTTCCTCTCTACCATCCTGCTGACCTCCAACCTCCAGAGCCCCTGGCCACCTGGACCGTGCAGTAACGGTCGGTGAAAACTGCTTTTGTCATCATCCCGAGGCACCCTGTGGCCCTGCCTGACTGTCGTCAGATGCCACCACCGCGCGTGGGCTACCAGCAAAGCCAGCTGCCATCTTTCCTGTGCGTGGGACAAGCTGCAGCCGGTACGCTCCCTCTCCCAGGAATGGGCCTTTCGGAGGCTAACTGTTTTAAGCCTCAACTTACAACTCAGGGCTATGTTAGCTCATTTAATCGTTGGAAGGCTGCTGTGAGGAATACTATTATCTATATCCCCACTTCGGTGACAAGAACAGGCTCAGGTGGAGAAGTGATTACCTGTCACGAAGCGCCCCACATGCTCAGTGCTGGGCAGTGTGCAGAACCATTGGGAATTTGACTGGCACACATTTGGCCTTCCCTTAGATCCTTCCACTTACTCAAGTCAAACATACTGTCACCAAGTAACTGGTGGCTTGCCAGCCATCTGCCAGGCTAAGAAAATGCCACCATGTTATTTAGTCCATGTCCAGACTGTCATCCGTCATGGGAACATAATGGTTGGCTTGTTATTTAGTGCAACTCTAGAGATCAATGTCAAGATGACAAATTGTCAAGGCTTAATCTTGTCAGCAGACGAGAATGTCCTATTAGATCAGAAATTTAATTAATGACTGCGGGCGCGGGCTCACCCCTGTAATCCTAGCACCTCCTGGGAGGCCGAGGCGGGTGGATTGCTAAGGTAAGGAGTCGAAACCAGCCGAGCAACCGAGACCCCGCTCTACTACAAAATGAAAGAAATTAAATTGGCAACCTAGTAAATATAGAAAAAAATAAGCCGTGGCATGGTGGCACATCGCTTAGTCCAGCTACTAGGAGGCTGAGCAGAGGATTGCTTGACCCAGAATTTGAGGGTTGCGTGTAACCTAGGCCTACCCCCATGGCACTCCACTCACTCCTGGGGCACAAAGCGAGACTCTGTCTCAAAAAAATAACTAAATAAAAGATTTAATTAACACCTCGTCCACAAATCAGATCTGAACAACGAATCTTCCCTTGTAGGCCCCCCTTCCTAAAACAAATCATACCACTTACAGTAGTTTAAAAAGTGGGTGCACAAGGTATACAAATAATCTCTGTAGACTCTTGAATAATAGAGACACTTCGTGTCTCCTACTGCTTTAGAGAATTAACCTGTGGCCTACCACAAGTGACTCACGTGTCCAGTTTTAAACGCCTTGTGTAAGCCCCAGCTCAGGTTCTCTTTGCCTTGGCAGTCTGCGTCAGTCTAAAGAGCGTAAACAATTTTTACCTGCAAATAACTCCCCTTAAATTCAGTGCATGAGTAATTTAGAGTGAATACAGGCCCTTCTGCTTCAGGTAACATATTTAATGTAACTCTTGCACGTCATTCACAGCTGGTGAAATGAAATGCAACACCTAAAACACAAAAATAGCTGGAGAGCCAGTTAACCTGCACACGGTATCTGCATGTTTAATACTCCACACCTTTCAGCTGAATGCACTTAAGATACATGGTTCTTGGAACATCCTAGTCGCACTCTTATGATTGTAGTTTCAAGAAGCTGGACAGAATGTGAGTAGCTTCTGAAGGTCACACAGTGGTGTCAGAGCCGGCAATCCAACCTGGCACCCATCGCTGGAGCAAGAATGCCCCTCGAAAACCAGACATCTCCCCTACTGGGCCTTCTTACTTGTCTAAGACCCTTCCGTTGCTCTTCTCCCACCCTCCCCTCTCATTACACTTAAATGAAAAACTCCAAGTTTAAACAGTGAAGATGCTTAGGTGTGGTCGGTAATACAGATGGGTAGGGACTATCCTGTGCCTCCTTTCGGAAGATCTTTTATTGAGATCAACATACATATGCAAATGAATGTGTTACAACATGGATCGATCTCACAAACCCCACAACATACCTTTATAACCATCTTTGGGACCGAAAGAATTAGGCAACCAGAAGTTTATTAAACTACTAGACATATACTCGAGTACGTAATACAACTACCAATTAGTAATACAGCAGAGACCAAGCAGCTGTAGGCACTTAGTACATCCAGTCAACTGAATCCCTAACTAGCCCTTCCCTAGCTGTCCTCTCTTTGTTTGAAAAGCTTTCCATTTAAACTTTTTATCTCCAAGTGTCCATGTATTAATACGCTCTATGCTATACAGCTGTTTTCTCTTTCATTCAACCCGCGACAAACAGCATGTCACCAAATATATACATCATCTCTTAGTTGTGTGTCAGCCGCATCCCAGTGATTTCGTTAGGATTAACCAATAAGAAATAGTCGCATGTTAATTTCAGGCTATTCAGTGCTTATGCCTCCGTTTTGTTTCCAACACATTCCATCATTTACACAACTTATATTCTGTCTGTGCAAAAGTTTATTAACATATGTCATTTACGAACACCTTGTATCTAAGCTTCTTAGTAAAACTTGACTTTGGAATCCTCTCATTTCAATGAATTTTCATTAAAACACATCTGCATCATCTATGCTGCTACACTGACCCTCCCTAATTTACCTTTTTTTTTCTGAGACATATTCATGTTCCAGAGGCAGGCAAGATCAACCAGCTCACTGTACACTCAAACACCTGACTCAAGCGACTCCTGCCTCAGCTCCTGATAGCTGGATTACAGATACACCCCGCCATGCCGTGCTAATTGTTTAAATTTTTTTTTTTTTTTTGTAGCAATGGGGTCCCCAGGCGGTCCAAACTCCTGGCCGGCCTCAAGCCCAATCTCCCACTTTGGCCTCC